TCACATCATTTCCAAGGGCAATTAGTTCGCAAGCCTTGTACTAACAATCGAATATCCATGAAAATATATTCCAGCCACGATCTTCATTACAATGGATGCATTATAGTCTGCAAAAGTTTTGAATTCCAACAATGAAAAGGGTTCTTTGGCATTTGACCTGAACGCTCTTCTCACTTGAACTTATTGTCGTTTCTCTCTTACAAAAAACAACGCATTGCATCGCTTCTCGCAAGGTTCAGCAGTTGTTTTAAGGTCAAAACATAATAATTTGACAGTTTTGTGCACGCGCCGTTTGCATTACAAATTAATCTGGAAGTCAAACACCAAGAATAACGTTTGTCCGGCAACCTAAAAATAAACGCAAATAAAGGCAGCCAGACGACTGGACAAATGTTCGAAATAAAAATACTTAATTTTATTTAAACGCTTAATGAACAATTAACATAAAAACTTTTACACGGCGAGAAAAGTGCGGGGCTCAAACAATGCAACAGGAACAATTTGAACTAAATTCGAAAAAGTGATACGTTTTACAATTTCACGTTTAGCCGTGAAATGGGCTCAGCCTAAATATGTGAAATCGTTTTCGCAGGCAATTCGACTATTTGGGCGACTTTATGGCAATCCAAATTCTAGTAAATTCTAGATAAAGTAAATAGATAACACAAATTAATTCCATGTTTCTCTTTCACAAATTTGAATTTTGCAATTTCTGTAAATCTAAAACGATTTGGTTCAAGCTTAAAGAAAACATTTTCTCAATGTTTTTCTCTCAGTGTATGTATAGATAGAAAAGAGACAACAAGTGCAAATTATTTTTTCTATTGATCGATTGCCGACCGTCAGCTGCTGCTCGCTTCCCCTTCCTCGTTCCTCGATGCTCGTTCCTCGTACTATGTACGACGTACCACACTTCCACGTTCGACGTCTCACGTTCCAGCCGTTCACTAGTTTCGGCACTCGGTTCACGTGAATCGCGCATGCGTCCGTCGGCATTTTTGTCTGGCAATTTTTACGAGCTTTTTGGCGAACGTATTGAGACTCCATAGAACTGAGCCGAGCTGAACTGCTTTTCATTTCGATCGGCTGTGTGGGGGCCATAAACCTGGTCGCAAACTTTGATCTCTGATAGCATTTAGCCCTGGCTGCATGCGTAATACTCTGCGCAGAATGGTCAGGACAAGTTAATGAAAATAAATAAATTCTTGATAATTATGTGGTCGGCGCTGGTGGCCAGTGGCAACGATAACCAAAACACGAAGTAGGTGAAGATAGCTGAGGTGGTCGCTCGATCCCACGCGGCGTATGAGTAATTGAGGCAGGCCATTTGAAGAGGTCTGGCGCGCAGCTTGTTTATGGGCCAAATACAAGATTTACGAGCCGGCGAGCCCGACGGCTGTCGATTGTTTCAATTTCACAGCGCAGAAGAGTAATTAAGACTTTTCGAATATTCGCAAATTATAAAAGAACAACAAATAAATGTTCCAATTAAAAATGCCTGCTTAATTGTTATTCATCAAATGGCAATTTATGGAGCGGCATTCGTACTCGACAGACTGCGTATATTTCGCAAAAATTATATAACACGCACATCTAACACACACACACACACAGGCATATATTAGACAGATGCATACATACACACAAATATGTCTTTATGCTCATGAGCCCAAAAGCAAACTTTGACGTACTATCATAAAAATAAAAATCGATTCTTTGAATTCTTGTGCTTATCTGATATTTCTATACCTATTTTCATATTGTAGGAGCGCGGGACTGACTGGACCGGAAAATTAAATATAACTGCCAATGTTTTCTGCTTAATATAATTCGACTAGCAGATATTCTCTTTTGATTGGACAGCCAAATATATGTACATATATGCCAAAAATCAAGGCTTGACTTTAAAGTAAATCAATTGGCATAAAGTAAAAGTTTGTTGTTGTTGGTCAAATCAAAAGAAAATGTGCAAATGTATACATTATGGCAACCTTCTGCTGCCTGTAACACTTGCAACTGTTGCAGCAACCCACTCTTAGCACTTCTAATAATTGCAGGGTATATTAATACCATACCATATATGCAATATGAAAACCTTCTGCTGCTCGTATCATTTGCAACTGTTGCAGCAACCCTCTCTTAGCAATTTTTGATAATTGCAGGGTATATGGTATTAATAAACGCGACACTTTTATATGAGCCCCCCCAATTGTCGCGTCCAACTCTATTAAACAATTTATGCTTTAAACAGCTGAATTGCTTAACTTCTTTATGGGTGCGCACAGTCAGGTCCCGCACGCGTATTTATTCTATAATAAACTTATCTAATAGTCATGTGCATTGCGGTGACAGCACCCAGCACCCAGCACCAAGTGTATCCCACATTGTACCCACAATATTATCATGAACACTAACGAGTCTGTCAAGGGCGCGCACACACACGCACCCAAGAAAATATATATAAAGAATATTCAAAAAAAAAAAAAAAAAAACAAAAAAAAAGGGCTTGATCTCGTGATCGGGTATGGGCTACACTGTCCAGCAGTCGGTATTCCCGCTTTCAATTTGATGAGCCGCCGGGTAAGTCCACATTAAAAACAATGCCCAGTCATCATCATCCGACGTAGTCAATTGACTACGCGGCTTGCCTCAATTTGTTGTAATTGGATTGCGTGCGACTCTTCTTCTTGTTGTTATTGTTGTTGTTGTTGCCGTTGCAGCCGGGGGCCGGGGGTCAGGTGCTAGTTTCAGTGCCAGTGCCAGTGCCAGTGCCGGTTGCCCCAACTGCTGGCTAGCTGCGATTTAGTAATAACCACAAAATGGAACAATTTCTGAACCTTCAATTAGCGTTGATTGAATTTGCAAAAATACTCGTCTAATTCTGGGCAAACGCTAGCCAGAGTCGCCTGGGTCGCCAGAGTCGAGCCCATCAAAAACTGGCCAATTTTGCAGTTTATATAACTTTTGCTTTTTGTTTCCACTATTTGCCCCCCTTGTTCTAATAGGTTTATTTAGTTCTTGCATCAGCATAAATCGCTAACACCTACAACATTTGCCACTTGACATAATGACAGCCACTTTTGAGAAGCACAATTGCTGAATATTCCAGCTGGCAGATGGATATATATTATATATATATTTTAGTTTGTAATATGCTTTAGTATTTAATATAATTAATATTTAAACGGCAAGTATATATTAATCGTATATTTTTAAAATTATAAACTTGCGATTCCTTTTTCGCTCCAAACTTCAATTTACTAGAGATCAAATATAGCCCGCAAATTCCATATGAAAATATGTACGATAGGCAATATTTTCAATTTAAAAATATAAATTAAATGATATGAAACTTTTTGAATATTTAATGACAAGCCAAGGCTTGAACCAAGAGAGGGAAACTTCAGCGCGAAAGTCTTATGCGAATCGATATGAATTACAGAAAATTAGTTAACTGCCTAAACGATTGAATAAATTTTAAATTTTATAAACTATTTTGGTGGTTCGAGTGCGCTCTCTAATCTTAAGAAATGCGACCGTATCACGGCTGTTACTGGGTTTATCAAAATTGGCTGCGATGCGTGTTTCACACACAGATTATTCATTGAAAATGATTAATTATTAATCAATAATTAGACTAGACTGCTTTGCGATGCGAAAATGAATTGAAGTAGGCTGGCATTTGGAATTTTCGCTGTCATAATAATATTCCATGCGGTTCTGTGCAGTCAGAAAGCATTTATCAAAATTGTCTCGAACTAATTCTCACACATTTTGTATATCACCCAAGGCACGCATATTGATATATTGAAGAAAACTTTTGAGATAGGTAAATCACAATCCAATATCCAACTAGAATGTCAAACAGCCGCATATTGAGCGCCGAGGAAGAGCTGCAGCTGGATGTCTGGCTCACGATCAAACAGATCAATCTCAACAATCGCACACGTCGTGATCTCTGCGATGTGGCGAATGTGGCGAAGCTGTTCAAGGAGCTCGATTACAAGCTGGTTGAGGCACACAATTACTTTTCGCACAGCAGCCTGTCCTTGAAGCTGCAGAACTGGGAGACCTTCAATCTGTTGGTGCTGCGCAAGATGGGCATGACTCTGTCACGGCAGGCGCTCGAGGATCTGGCCACGGGTAGTCTCGGTGCCATCAAATCGCTGCTCTACCATCTGATGTGTGCGGAGCGCAATGGGATCAGGCTACGTGCCGGCTCGCGCACATGTCTGACAGGCATTGGCACTGGGATTGGGACTGGCACCGATGTTGAGATGCCGGACGAATCGATCCCGATCCACACGAAGGTTGTGCGCAGCTGTGATCCGCAGTCGTTTCTTGATGCCAAGTATGAGGAGCTGATTCGCGAAAGCAACCAGATGGACAACTATATTAGCTCAATAACTGACAGGATTAAGCATCTGGAATCCGTCAAGCTGATCAAAGAGGATCGCATCAATTGCCTCATTGAGAATCTGGCCCTGCTTTCGGTCCGCACGCTAACCATGCAAATTCTGTGTAGAAATCCCAAATGGAAACAGAAACAGCTGCAAAAGCTGCAGCAGAAGCTGGATATAAGGCTCAAGAAAAAGCAGCTGAAAAGACAACAGAAAAAACTACATAAAAAACAGCTAAAAGAAACAATGGCTTTGAAATAAATTCACATTATGTCGGCTCGAATATTTTTGCCTCTTTTGTATTTTTAATATTTTTAGCTGAATTTCTTGAAATAGTCGAAAAAAAACATTGCAAATTTTCTCGCTGTGGCTTAAATTTTTCCCAATCCATTTCAAATCCTTGAGCGATGAGCGGATTGCCTGATTGAGATCATGCTTCATTTCCGCCCGTAACTAAAATTGGCGAAAATGGATTGTAAGAACCTTTTTTTTGATGCCATTCGATTACCCCACAAGCTCACTTGCAGAGATTTCTGTCGAATGTCAGTTTAAATGTGAAAGTAAATTTAAATTTCACAGACGGAACGCATATTTATGTATTTATTATTGACTTTCAAAATGATATAAGTGCAATGAACACATTAGCTGAATAATATTGCGAGAAGTAGACCGTCCGGCGCGGGCTGGACAGGTGCTCAGCTCTGGGCTGCAGAAATGTGTGAGAACGGGCAGCTTGAGCCTTGAAAGTTGGTAGCCCAACTTCTCTAATTGCCTGCACAACAAGTCAATTAGCGATTGGTCAAAGGCCAACAGGGCGTATAAAAACGAAAGCTCGCTTCGACGGCGCTTGAGAAACGTTTGGATTATGGCTGGCTACTTTGGATTCCGCTTCCTGTACAGGAATCAGCCGCTGTCGCTATACTATTACGCCGTGCCGCGTCTATGCCTGAATCTAATGGGCTTCTGGCCCGGACCGCTGCAGTGGAGGGCACTCGTCCATTTTGTGGTCCTGGCCATTGGCGTGGCAACCGAGCTGCACGCGGGCTTTTCGTTTGCGCGAGCGGGCAAGATAACCATGGCCCTGGAGACGTTCTGCCCGGCGGGCACCTCGGCTGTCACCTTGCTGAAAATGTTCTTCATGCTCCGCTATCGTCAGGATCTCCTATACGTGCTGACCCATCAGCGCCAGCTGCTGTTCCAAAAGAAGCCCCTATCGGTCGAAAAGAAGCAGCTAATGCGTCGCCATTCCGAAATGGCAGCCCGCTTCAACTTCTGGCCACTCTCCGCCGGCTTCTTTACGTGCACCATGTACAATCTGAAGCCAATCCTGTTGGCCATGCTGCTGTATCTGCAGGGACGGAGCGATGCGATTGCCTGGAGCACCACACCCTTCAATATGACGTGAGTTGGATTTGGATGGGGTATGGGGTACTTCTAGAGCAGTAACTGTTCCCATTTGCCATCCATGATGCAGCATGCCCCGCTGGCTACTCCATGCACCATACTTTCCGCTCACGTACATGTTCATCGCGTACACCGGCTACGTAACCATCTTCATGTTTGGCGGATGTGACGCCTTCTATTTTGAGTTTTGCGTCCATACTGCCACGCTCTTCAACTTTCTGCAGGCGGACACACGTGCGCTCTTCCGGCCGTACAAGGGTAAGGCCAAAAGGCAGCATCATCAGACCTCTAATACCAGCAGCTGCTCCTCCTCCTGCTCTTGCTCCTGCTCCTTTTCCTCCTTCGTCAGGACTGGCACAGATGATTGGCTTGCGCAGCACACGCTTCGAGGCGTCTCTGGTGCAGCTGATCGAGCGACACAACAAGATCTTCGAGCTGACCCACTTCTTTCGGCAACGCTACGCGATCATCACACTGGCCCACTTTGTGTCCGCCAGCATGGTGATCGGCTTCAGCATCTTCAATCTGCTGACCGTCGGCGGCAGCGGCCTGGGCACCCTGCTCTATGTGGGCTATACTGTCGCCGCCCTCAGCCAGCTGGTCATCTACTGCTATGGCGGCACTTTGGTCACGGAGAGCGTTAGTGCCATTCGCCTATTCGGGGGCGTCCCTATTGATTGTTTATCCATCTCATTTGTTGCAGAGCGCTCAACTGGCCACCGTGATGAGCACCTGTCCGTGGCACCTGTGCCTGCCCAAGCATCGGCTCTATGTGTATCTCTTCATCATGCGGTCGCAGCGCGCCCTCACCATGGCCGTGCCATTCTTCTCGCCCTCGTTGGGCACCTTTGCCGCTGTGCGTTCCAAATCGGAATCTTCGCATTTGTTGTTTAACTCCTTGTTATTTTTCAGATACTGCAAACATCTGGTTCTATTATCGCACTGGCCAAGTCTTTTCAAACCTGATCTCCTCATCTGCTCAATCTGACAAATATATCGCAATAAATGTGAAGCCAAACCAAATCCTTATTGCTTAAGCGATTGTTCAAAAAAGATTTTAAATATACTTATAACTCTTGAATATTTTGAATTTAAGATTAGGTGAATAATATGTAAAACATTTATGTAAATATGTATATCATCCCGAAATCGCAGTTGATATACTCGAAATATATCAATTATAACAATATTGAAGAACTGCCTTTTTATACCCTGAACCCATTAAAAATGGGTATAAGGGTATATTGTATTTGTGCAAAATCCAAATGTATGTAACAGGCAGAAGGAAGCTTTTCCGACCCCATAAAGTATATATATTCTTGATCAGCATCAATAGCCGAGTCGATCTAGCCATGTCCGTCTGTCCGTCCGTCTGTCCGTCCGTCTGTCCGTCCGTCCGTCCGTCCGTATGTATGAACGCAAGGATCTCAGAACCTATAAGAGCTAGAAATTTTAGATGTAGATGCTCCTGGTTCCCGCGCAGATCGAGTTTGTTTCCGATAATCGATAACTTACTCCGTTTCCAAGCAATCGATAAAAATCGATATCGATATCCTGTTTTTTGGGCAATTTTGGTAAATAATAAGAGCTAGAGTCACCAAACTTGACATATAGCTTTTAAAATAGAATATATATATGCATTTGATGTTGGAAGAAGAGGGTTCAGGGTATCCCCTAGTCGGGAGCTTTCGACTTGAGCCTCTTACTTGTTTTTTTACTCAAATAGCTCTATCTCGGATAAATGAAGTTCGATTCTGGAAAGATATGCATTCTTTGTCCTGTGAATAGTCTTTAGAAATGATTGAAATGTTTGAATTTATCAATTTATTGAAATTGTACTGTATTCCCTTCGAATGCCTGTCGATAGTAATAAGTTCATATGAGTTCAACACTTGAAATAGCTATAACTCGATTTAATAAAGTCCGATCATAGAAAGATTATCCATACGAGTCCGTAAAAATATCTTTATAAACAATTAGTTTTGAAACATGACATGAAGCATTTCTTTTAGACAAAAGTAAGTGGACATTAGAGTTTTAATCTGTAGAACTCTATATGTCCATGCATGTTCGCATGTAAATACGGCTTTGAATCAGATCTGAATCAGATCATCTGGCACATCGGCGCAAAAGTATTCTATAAGCCGAAGACAAGTATACTCTCTTGATTCCATCTCCCCCCCCCCCCCCCCCCCCCCCCCCCCCCCCCACTCACCTCTGCCTGCCACCATTATGCACCGTGTCAGTTGCTGCATGCGTATTGAACGTATCGCCATATCGACATGCAAGGCGCCACGCACCAGCACCCAAGCATGCCACAGCAACTGGCAACAGGAAACAGGCTGCCGCATTCAGTGCAAATGCGGCAAGCTGAGCGAACGGCATGTGCGATAGGCGTAGCTTCTGGGAGCGGCACGAGTACAAGTTCTACAGATACGGCCACATATATGCGAACATCTACGGCCAGGTGATAATCGATTATGTGCCGCAGCGCCAAATGCGGCCGGCGCTGAAGAAGTTGCTCATCGGCTACAGCCATGTGCTCAGCCTGCTGCTGATTGTCGTGCTGCCCTGCTACTTTGGCTATAATTATCGAGCGCTGACGGCAGCGGATGACAGGCGCATGCAGCTGGTGCTGTACGTATCGTTTGCCAATACGCTCATCAAATACGCGACGGTCATAGTCACCTACATGGCCAACACGTTCCACTTTAAGGCCATCAATCATGGCTGCACGCTGCAGCGGGCCCGCCTGGAAGCGGCTTTCGCCGCCAGCTACCGTGGTCCCAGATGGCCCAAGCGCAGCTTTGAGCGTTTCATGTACTTCAAGTTCGTGCTGATTAACATCATGATGATTGCCCAGGTGTGCGGCTTATTTGCGACGGCCGGCGCCGCTGGCGGGCAGCTTCGCACACAGTTTGCCATTTACTCGTTCGTGTTGTGGAACTACACGGAGAACATGGCCGACTATTTCTACTACATTAACGGCAGTGTGCTCAAGTACCTGCGCCTGCTGCATCTCCAGCTGTGTGCCGCTCTTGGTCAGCTGCGGCGTCTGCAATCGCAGCCGCTGCGGCGTGAATTGTGGATGAAGCATTGTGAACGGCTCTCGAATCGGATTGCCAGGCTGCGTGCACGTTTCGGGGATATACACGCCCTCTATGTGGGCAGCTTTCGGATGCATCAGTTCCAGCTGCTTGGTCTGATGCTGACCACGCTGATCAACAATCTCACCAATTTCTTTACCATCTTCAATATGCTCGCCACACACTCCCTCGCGAATGTCTCCTATTCGATTGTGGTCAGCGGCCTCTATGCGTTCGGCTTCTATGTGGACACCTACATAGTCACCCTGATGAACGAGCATATCAAGGTGGAGCAGACCCGTCTCGCACTCACCGTGCGTCGGTTCTGCGACTATCCGACGCTGGCAACGCCAAGGAGAAGTCTAAGCCAAGAGGTGCTCCATGCCAGTTACTCCAATCAATTGCTTGTCTCACATTGTTGCGCTTCTTTGCAGCTGGAACAGTTCTCTCTGCAGCTGCTGCAATATCGACAGCCCATGCTGTGCGGGCTGCTGCATTTGGACCGGCGGCTCATCTATATCATTTCGGTGACGGCCTTCTCCTATTTCATAACGCTCGTCCAATTCGATATCTATCTGCGCTCGACCAAGTAGCAGTCCATCCAATTAGCCAACGCGCATTCCAGTTAATTAGGTTAATTGGATCGTATCGGACTCAATTCAATTGCACGCACTACTTCGCTATGCGAGTCCAAGCTAAGTGAGTACTTTTTCCCGATTCGACCACAAAAACACGAGATTCAGAGCGATACGAAAGGCAACACCCAGGCAGCATACGTTTATATAATACGGATATAATATTCTTAGACTAGTGACTATCTTGTTTATATACTTATATATTCTTGATCAGCTGAGTTTTAAAGCTATCACCCCATTAATGGGTATGTATTTTAGTTAAAACTTAGTTAGGCAGCATATAGTCATATAAAGCACTATGGAGAACTATCGGTCGAGAAAAGAGTTTTTGTGTGAGCATCTCTTTTTCCTGTCAAGATATCTTGATAAGCCTTGGCATTTATTTCTTTCACTATGCTTTCCATATATGGGCAAAGTCATTTCAACAGCGGACCAATATATCATATATGTAGCTATCATAGGACGAAAACTATGTTCTTACATAAAAAGCAACTTTGTCGATCTTCAAGATATCTTTACCAAATTTGACACGTAGTAATTTTTCTATGGTTCTAACATATGGGCAAAATCTTTCTTACGTCGGAAAACTATCAAATGTTGCTATATAGAAAGAAATAGTCGAAAGATGGATTTTCTGAAGAAAACTTTTTTGTTTTTTAATAAATCTCGACAAAACATGCCATTTGAGTAGCTCCAAGCTCCTAACAAATGGGAACAATCGTATTAACATCGAAGAACTTTATCATATAAATAGCTCTATGGGAAGAGTATAGCGAAAAATGCGTTTTGTTTTGGAAAACTTCTCTGCTCGGCAATTATTCTATTCTTCTACCTATTCATACCAGAAAAATTGTACAAAATCGGACTAACATACCATTTGTCTCCTAATGTCTATAGGGGTGTTTGATCTTGTCTGTCTTGTTATACATAAAATAATAATTAAACTTGTATAAAAGCTTTTAAGTAATAAAATATTTTTTTTTTTTTATAAATCAGCCAAGGGCTATTTTAAATAAATTATAAGGAAACAGTTAATAAATCAAATTTTTAAAAATTGAACTTTGTGTGCATCACCGTGCACCGTGTCCACTTTGGGTCGTGCTTGTCGTGAGCGTGCTTAAAATGTCTGTTTCGTGCTCGTGTCTAGCTAAAAAACCAACCTGAAAATGCGGCACGACTCATTTGCTGGGCTGAAATCTCCAAGCGTTAAGTCCCAAATGAGGTACGCTCTAGTTGCATGTGTGCACACACACACACACACACACATATATATATATATACATAGGCATGTATACATGTGTGTATGTATGTATGACAGTCATTAGATAAGTAAATAAATTACGTATTGGATTTGTTGTTTATTACGAATGTCGCATCTTTTGATGAACTTTAAATAATAATACATTATGCAGAGTTCACAAATTGTTTTTATAACTAATTTGTGTGTACGTGTGTGTGTAGGTGTAGGTGTGTGTACATGCATACATATATAGTATATATGTATTTTAAATACAAACGTAGGTGTGCATATGTGCATGTGTTTGTGGATGTACACAAGTGCATTTGTGCCACGACCGCGAATTTCTGGAGAGTACCTTCCCCCACACACAACACCCCAGCTTTTTGAAGAGCTGCTCAGGAAAATATAGCATAAGTATGAGAAAAACAAAGCAAAGCAACTCTTTAGGCTTAGAGTTAAGAACACTCTCATTATGCACATTCGGAAAACCGAGCAGTATAATAAATATAGCTATAGTCCCATGTAGATGAAATCAGGATTATGCTGAGAAGAAAGCAGTTGAAGGCGAGAGGAAATTAATAGCTCTGTATTCTGTATAGAAATTGCGCTATAAAATATATCAATTGAAATCTTAGCTAAATGGATTTTTATCTGCTTGCAGATAGTTTAACAATTTTAACTACGCATGTGAACTCATTGTAAACTACATACTTACATATGTATTATATGTATATATGTGCTGGTATATAACATATTATTTAAATTTAATAAGCAATCAAATAGGTACATTTTGTTTTTAAGCAAAAAATGTAACACTTAACAACAAATCTCGTGATGATACTTCATGAATATCTTGATTTCAATAAATCATTACTTTTGTTTACGAGCACAGAATTAGTGAAGGGCCTGAGGGGCGTGTGTGTGTGCTGGGGGAGGTATGAATTTTGAACGGGGGGGCTACGATCAAGCAGCAACAGCTTTTCAATCAATTTGAACTAAATTCCTTAAGCTGATATTTAAGATGTTCGAGCAGATATCACAGCCCGCAACTGAATAATTTCAATTCTCAAATCTACAATAAATAGCATGTGCTGCATTACGGATTATTATACTTAACTATATAAATTTATGTAATTTTATCTGTTTTTTGTTTTTTTTTTTTTTCGTTATATTTCATTTTTTGTTTTCATTCAATACCGACAACAATAACTGATAAAGGCACCATTTTGATGAAATGCTTCCACAAAAATTGTAAGTATACGCTGACAAAATTTACGATATTCATCGTTTTGTTCATCATGTAGATGATGTAGCACAAAATTGTTTTGAACAATGGGATCGTTAAATGCCTTTCAGTATTAGTTTTAATACACATTATAAATATGTATTGTTTTCTGTGTTATGGTATTATTTAATTTATCTAATAAATGTTTTTTTTCTTTTCATTTTTTTTTTTTTTCGTTTTGGTAAATTCTTGCATATATTTTCTAAGGCTACATCAAAAATTGTCATTTGTTTTTTTTTGTTTTTCATTTTTGTTTTCATCATTAGAAATAGGGCATTTCATAGATAAGCAATGTATGTGTATGTAACTTGGATATACTCGTAAATGCGTTAATTAATTGCATTTAAGGCTTTGGAACAGTTACCTTGACTTTGAAATATATATATATATATATATATATATATATATATATATATATATATATATATATATATATACTATATTCTATTAGAAAAGAAAGTTTACCGCATTTGGGCTTAAAACCCCATAAGTATTTGAAATTCTTCTATATGAGCTACATACAGTAAGTCGTTATTAAATACTTATAAGATATACACTCTCTGTTATTTATCTATCAACTATTTAAATATGTCCCCACATACGTTTCCAACCATGCATGTGTAAAATTTGCCTTTGATTTTCAATTTTCATTCCATTTCTTTTGTATGTTGTATGTACTTTAAATTGCTTTCCGTTTAAATTTTGCTTACACAGGCGCAAGGTACTTCACTAAGAGATTGCAAGGCGGGTGTTTGGTAGGCAGAATATTTATTAGATTATCGATTGAAAGACAAAATCCGTACAATATGTACATACTTAAAGAGTGAAGGAGTCTATTCGGCACACATACAGTGGCCACTAATATTAATGAAAGTAAGTGTATCATAAGAGCCACGTATGAGTGTGCCACATACATGCATATGCCATATGTAAATGACAAATATCGAATTCAGAATTTTTGGTATCCCAAACACAGTCCTAATGCGCACCGAATGAATTGTGGGCATATCGCTCAGTTTAGTACACAATTATTTCGTCTAAGGCTTATAACATTTTGGCAATCTTATATACTATACTATATACCCAATCTGGAATATATTCGCCATAAGAATCGTCAATAAGTGTGCCATATCCTATTTGCCTTGATTTAGTTTCTTTCACATTTTTCGCAGTCGTGGCTTTAACGGTAGATTTTCACAATATTTAACTGTGTGTGTGTGTTTGAGTGTGCGTGGCGGTGTGTACTGTAATGAAATGTTTTAATGTTACACACTTTTTTACAGTTTTACAAAATCTTGTTTTCTTTATAATTTGTAACTTTTTCACACCTCCTTTTGAAAGTTTTATTGGAAATTGATTAAAAAGTTATTACGGCTTTGATGAAATATGTGTTGTATTTTTTTTTTGTTTTTTTTTTTTTAGTTTATTTTTATTACATTTACTGCTTTTTTTTAAGTTTAAATTAATATAATTCGCTTAGGTTTGTGTTTATTAAATACAACAATGCATTTTGCGTACTATGTGAAAACGAATTTTGTATGCATTGTCTGCACGTACATATACTGTTCAATGTTTATAAAGCAGGGATCGAAGGTATTATAATTTACAAAATATTGATATTACAAAAGTAAAGGACAGAGACGAAAAAAAAAATATTTATATATATATTATTAATATGCAAATGTTTCCCTTTCCATAAGAAATATAGCTATGTACATAAATGCACAACGTATACATTTCCTTTTGAAAAATCTTTTCAATATTCTGGAAAGTTGGCGACACACACGAAACGAAAAAAAAAATCATCATATTAAACTTGAATTTTACTAAATTTCTTAGAAAAAAAAAATATATAGAAAAGTAGAAAAAATGGGTTATTAGCAGTTATGTGCGTTGTCTCTAATTTATGAATTTGTTTGTTTGTTGAACATTTGCTAATTGTTTGCTGTCAATACAAAAAAAAAAAAATATATATATATATGTATGTCAATACCAACAAGGTATTTATGTTGTTGCATATTCAATTGTAAAATTAAACCGTATCGGTGTATATTATTTATATACTATATATATTTATATATATATAAGTATATAATATATATGGGTGTATATGTTGTATTGATCGTAATATGCGTAGGTGTATGTGTTTGAAGTCAACACGACGCTTTCAGAATTAGTTAATGCTGTCTAACATATATATATATCGTATGTTAAATAGTAAAATGACTTTTTGTATTGAAAGAAGTGATATTGCCCTCTCTCCCTCTCTATATACTCATTTTTAAATATATAAATATATATATATAGCGCATATATCTATATACATATAAATATATAGCTCGTTGCTGACGCGTTTCTTTAGTTAGGCTACATGGTATTTGTGTACATAGATGTGTGTGAGTCAGTGTGTGTGTAGGTGTGCTTATGCAGCATGATTCTTATCGTGTGATTTGTGTTGCATTAGGCAAAGGCGCGTGGGGAAAAAATACAATACATCTAACAACAAATGCACCAACTTATCGTCGTCGTCGTCGTTATCTATTTACCCATATATATACCTATATAGTCGTATTCGCCAACTGATTCAATTTAAATTGCTATCCTTCAACGTAGTATATCTGACGCTTGTCGCACTTAAAGATTTATATACCTATTATACATACATATACAATATATGCATATGTATATAATAATGTACCATATTATCATTAGCATCAATGTAACTAGCTCGCTATAACTCTCGTATAAACATCAACATAAACAAACAACACTAGCGCTTAACGAACGTTCTCCTTTTGGATCATTTGCTTCATATTATGTAGGCCTTACGATTAATATGCTTTCGGTTTGCATGTATGTATGTATGTATGTGTGTGTGTGTGTGTTGTTGTTTTTTTTTTCTTTTTTTTTGTTATCAATTTTGTTCTAACTTAAACTAAACAGCCGCCGCTTCAGTTTGAACAGTTTGTCCTCACAGCAAGAGAGCTAAGAGCTAATAGCCAAGAATCTTGATTTAGTGTGTTTTCTTTTTTTTTGGCTCCTATTGAACTGCGCCGGCAAATGTTAATTGTTTATAAAATAAAAAAAAACAATAACCAATCTAATCATGAACAACATCGGTTGGACTGCTGCCTATTGTTGCTGCTGCTGCTGCTGTTGCTGATGCTGCCGCTGATGTTGATGTTGTTGCTGTTGCTGTTGTTGATGTTTGCATCGTCGTTGTGTTGTTGCATCAATGTGACGTTTTTTGTTGCGGCTGATTTGTTGTTGTTGCTGCTGCTGTTGCTGCTGCTGCTGTTGTTGTTGCTGCTGCTGTTGCTGTTGTTGTTGGTGTTCTCGAGACAGGTCGACAACGTACTCGAGGCGGCAGTGTCCATGTTGTTGTGGCTGTTGGTCATAGAGATTCCTTCGATGGTACCCAAATAGTTGGTCCCGATTGCGACCAAATCATTGATTTGACTTTGCTATATATTTCCTCGATTGTATCGCCTTGTACAACGCCTGCAACGAGTTACAAATTATAATTATTTTTATACTTTAACAAAAACAGCAACAAGGCAAACGCAAACACATACCCGTAAAGTATTCGCCGAATTCTTGCTCCATTTTAATAGCGCGCTCATATGTTTTCTTTGCTTGCTCCTCGGTCATGCGACGGTTCATTTCCCTGCAACGAGTGCATTGTAAATATGGAACTGCATATATAGTTTCATTTTATATTTGAAAACTTACATCACAGAGTCCACAGACTTGGGCTTTATGAAAACAGCAACCGGATAGAGTTGCGCAACCTGCAAGCGCTTAATTGCATTGCCCGAAACATCCAGTATGCAGTGTTTGCCCCTCTCGGCCACCTCGCGCACACTGGCCACCGAAGTGCCATACAAATTGTCATTGTATTGGCCGGCTTCGATGAACAGATGGTTCTGTATATCACGCTCCATTTGTTCGCGCGATGACACAAAATGATAGTCCCGACCATCTACCTCATATTCGCGTTTCGGCCGTGTGGTATCTGTGGCAGGAGTTCAGGGGTTAAATATTTCATATCACTTTCATTTATTTATTTATTCATTGTGATTCGTCGACAGTACAAAAAGTTATAATTGCCCCCTTCTTAAACTGCGAATCATTAAACTTGTTGAGAATTACAAGCATCCATACAAATCTTGTAATTTAAGTAAGATTTCTAATTCCTACAATATTTAGTTGCTACGAGTAAAGACTTACGTGGTACACATGAGCCGAATTTGTCCGGGTATTCAGATATTAGATCGTCATTGATACGATCCTTAAGTGGTCCCAATATTATAACGGGACGTGTATAGCTAATGGATAAACGCTGCACGGCCTCATAGGACAGCACGTTCTCCTCGGAAGCTGTAAGCATAGTAGGCAACGGTATTAGGTTTTGTGCGGGTGCAAAAACAAAATGTACAAAATGAATGGAAATAGGTACTGGGTTAGGTTAGGATCGGGTTAGTATTTTGGTTTTATTTTCATTATTCTTTTTTTTTTCAAAAGAAATCAAACAGATTTTTTTTTTCACATAGGGTTTAAATTTATAGTAGTTTTTCAATTTGGAACAGAATATGCTCAAAACTAAAAATAAAGTGAAAGATAGAGAGATTTCAAGAGAGATAGAGCGCAAAGGTTGTTCAAATTTATCTTCATGTTTTTCATTCTTGTGTCCTTATTAATTGGTTGTAAGCATTTAGTTAATAATATTGGATTTATTGTTTACGACGGCTCTCAGGTGGAAAGAAAAAAGTAAGCTAAAGGCAAATAGTTAGCTAAGTAGATTTTAATGTAACGAGCGCTTATGCTAAACCAGAATTAAAATGAAGAACAAAGAGGATATAAATGAAATAAAGTATTTCTCGAATTTCAACGTTATGTAAGAAAAAAAAACCCAAAATGTAAACTACGCAAATACTGCAATTATATGTGTAAAAACAAAAGTAAAAGAAATAATTAAGTGTAACAATATTTTTGCTTGATCAACTCAAAAGTTGTGCGAAAGTTGGGGATAGAAAAAAAAAAAAATAAACAACCCCCGACAAAAATGAATTGCTTTTGCTCATAGGCACAAATAATACACAAGATAGAGATACAAGATTTCTATATAAAAAGTAAATCGTGGTTTAACATACATATATACATAGTGGTTGTCTCATGTTCAAAGGTAGAGTTACGAAAGGTGCTAAATACGAACTAGACGAGCAACAAATACACAAATACAATTCATCATCAACTTTTGGCCAATTATCTGCGGCATTCAGCAGTACTCAGATACAGATACAGCTAAAGAATATGTTATTAGTTTTATAAATCACCAAACTGATGCAAACACATAACATATCGATACTCCAGACAGAACATAAACAGAAACAGAAACAAAAACCAAAACAAAACAAAATTAACATGAAAGTAAGAACTTAAGAGTAAATGTTAGTGCAATACAAACAACGAACTAAATGATATGTTCTACATATGACGACTTATATGGAAATTCAGTAGTTACTTAACTTAAGTGCTAATACTATATATATATACTATATACTATACATATATGTATATATTTTTAGCCTAGGCAAATAATTTGGTTCGCATGTTGTGTACTTTTTGGGAAGCAAAACATATATGGACTTATGTTCAAAAATAAATCCTTGAATATATATATATAGATGTGTGGAAACATTTTGTTGTTGTTGTTGTTGTTCTTGTTGTTGCTATTGATTTAATCGGGATTTTGGTTCTTCGTTTCGATTTCACATTGAATTTCGGAAATTAAAGTTTACTCACTCTGTAACAGCATGTCATGGGAATTCATTTGCAATTCATGTTAAGATATAACTATTAATTAGTAAATCAAAAGAAATGATGCCAATTATTGTCGTAAACAAAGTTCGCAAATACGAGTATAATCAGAAACCAATATGATAGATGATGCATCATTTTTGAACGGAACGAACGATGGGAATGTGTGAGGTAAAGTAAATTTGGAAACATGGCATGAAAGGTTCTTTTTTCTGGATAAATAAATTTGCGATATCGTGAAAATACACTGACGTATACGATTAATTAACAACACTTCTTAAATCAAACAAGACTTTTATTTATCTTCAGAAACTTTCGATAATTCTGTAATTAAATCAATTTTCAATACATCATTATATTATACTATATTGAACTATTTGCGTTGTCGTCGTTCACATCCCTGTTGTTATCTTAAACTTAAATAATTAATCGAAACATACATACAAATCAATTGGCAAAGGGAGTTCTTGTTGTTTTCTTTCTTTTAACTACTCCTATGGAGGATGTTTTGGATATACAGGTGTTCACTTCCGGTTGTGTTGCAACAAATGTATCGAAACAAAAAAAAAATGGTGGAAATGTGCGTGCAATGTTACGATATCGATAACGATTAATGACAATAACAATACATCTATCGGTGTTGTATAGTTTCGGCTTTACGGTTGTGACCACTACATAAATTGCTTGAAAAGAAAACGTGTGAAATGAGTGAAGCACATCATAAAACTAAGCAAATATAATATTCCAAAAAAAAAAAAAGGAAAAAGAATTCGCTTTAAACGATATAGTTATAGTTAAAGGAATGAAAGTAATAGAGTTAGCGAAAAAGGAAAATATACAAAAGAGAGAACAGGCATAAGCGCACCGAACTAGAAACTAAACTTTACAATCTGCAATATTGTGGCTCGTCTAAGCTACGGAATAAAACTACAACCGTTTATGAAATTAACAAAATCGTTTCTCACGAACTTGAAAAGCGTAAAATGTGAATACGAGCATATTCAAATGTTGGGTACACACTGAACATTTCAAATTCGATAGAAATTATCGACAGTGGTACGTCTTCAGCGTCCAAAATAGGCAACTGTACTTTTAGTTCTAATGAAATCGGAAAACAAATAAATAATTGCTGACTAGTGTGTGCATTTATGTATTTCCAACACAAGGTACGAGGTAATGTATTGGGCAAAATGGCATTGGAATACGATTAAGGCATTCCACACATGATCAAATTATGGAAAGGACATCTCGCTTCGGATATTTAACGAGGCTTTATCATATATGGGTCGCATAAGCAGATGATCAAAAATTAAACTGTTCATTAAAACTTTGCACTAAAATACTCATCAGACTGGATCGGTTGCTTTTCGGGAGAAAAAGAAGGAAAAAAAATTGGCATTAACATGGAATATCCGTAATATTAAAGCTAAACCATTCCTCTAAAAAGAAAAACAATGATTGTGTTTAAGCAAATGCTGATAATACTAGCTAGGAAATTTCTAAGATGAGACCTTCGCTTTAGCATAATAAAAGGAAATTCAAGAGATATTATTCAGTATATAAATATAAAATTGGAAAGGTAGAGCTGCAGAAAATGAGTGATGGACTTACAGAAAGAGAGAGAGCGAGAGAGAGAGATAGAGAGAGAGTGTGTGTGTGTGCGAGAGATAGGGCTAGAGAATAGGAAACTAACCAAGTAACCGGCATTTAAGAAGGAAAATTGCTTGCAGTTTCGTTTTGATTGATAACAAAAATTAAAAAAAAAAAATGTAACAAAAATAGATATATACTGGACATTGTTCTGATTTTAAACCTAATTGTTTTTTTTTTAAGAAACGTAAGCTTTAATGTATTTTTTTGGTTTGTAATATTTTAAGGCCTTTATAGCTGTTGTTGCATTTATATGGTTTGTTTGGTTCTTTTACAAAAATTTTTGCTTATTTGCTCGACTTACGATAGTCAGCATCATTATTCTCCAAGTAGATTAAAGTTATCTGCTCCATATCGGGTAATTCCACTCTGTAGATAATCTCGCCTGCGCTCATTTATACATATACATATCAAATATTGGTTGGTTGATTGATTGATTGATTGATTGATTGATTGGTTGGTTGGTTGGTTGGTTGGTTGATAGTAGTAGTGATGTACGGGGATGGTAGTTGATAAATTTAGTAGTTGTAGTTGTTGTTGTTGTCGCAGTACATGAACGAGCGCATGGTTGTAACAAATATATTTATATATATTGATGTATTTATAATAGGTTTTTCAATCAGTTGAAAAGTTTGTTTGATTCAAATATATATTTTTTTGTAATAACAAAAACCAAACAAAAAAAATTAAGTTTTGTTAAACAAAACAGGAATATATGTAACATATTGACAATATTTTTTTAAATATATGTTATTAAAGGTTTTTTGTTGTAGTTTGTGGCATTTGTTTGTTGTTCGAAAATTACGAGATATAGTTTCAGGTAGATATATGTATAAATATGCAAATTATCAAACGTAACGAAATTATAGCAAAGTCGTATTGAATACACACAGTAAATAGTTTAAGTAACACAAATAGTAGTAGTAGTAGTAGTAGTAGTAGTTGTAGTAGTTGTAGTTGTAGTAGTAGTAGTAGTAGTAGAAGAGTAGTGACAGAAGTAGTAGAGTCGTAAATAGCAGTAGGCAGCGGAAAGTAGACGAAGCATTTAGTAAATATATATATATATTTGAGTTTTGTTGTTGTTTTTGTTGTAATTGTTGAACGTAAAATTGAACATAGTTCACACACAAAGGTTAAGTCAAATGGGAAATCATTAATTAAAGAAAAAGAAGAAAAAGATAAACAAAATTAATCATTTGTATATATTTAGATTAACCTGCAATATTTAAACGATCTTTAAGAGAATCAGGTGTTTCTTTTTAGTTGTTGTTGTTGTTGTTGTGCAAGTGTGTTCGTACTTTAATCTTATGCATGTATGTATGTCTAAAACTTGATGGAAACTTAAGAAAAATAACAATCAATCCTAAAAGCAATCAATAAATTTGACTTTGATTTGATACAAGCCAACACTCGTTTGGTTTGTGTTTGTGAAACGCGTATTATGCGTACTTCTCTGTCAAGCACACGAGTATTACGAGTATTCATGTGCATACATCTATATGCATGTGCATATGCATGCATACATATGCAGCCGGTGCATGTGCACACATATGTACGCATGTAAGAATGGGCGTACATTTTATTTGGTGAATATTTACAAGACGCCAGTGTATTATGTAGTATTCTATGCTACACAAAATGAAATGATGTCAAAAAAAAGTGATTAAATCAACCAAAAAGAGTTCAAATAAAATCCCAAATGTAGATTTTATTGTACGAGTGTCGATGTCGTATTCAAGATTTTGGAATTAAAGCAAATTACCATCAATGTGATTAAAGTTAACACAATTAAGACAATTAAAAATAAAATACAATAGGTTAGCTTAACTTCATATACATGTGCCGCACGAGCACGTAATGCTTGTATATAAATTGCCAGGACCTAAAGCGTGTGTAAGTACTTAATAAGTATACACTTACTTATTGGTTAACTTAAATGAACACAACGATAATTGACAAATAACACGCACACACACACACACACACACGCACAGGAATGTAATTATTTACAAAAATATTCATATGTGCATATGTATAATTGTGGTTTATTCATAGATTCATGTATCAGATCATGCCAATTCCTGAGTGGGCCAAAGATGGTTCCAACTACGGTCCAGTATTCCAGTTCAATGGAATTATACCGACAATAGAGCCTAAATGATTATCGATAGTTTCGATAGATTTCACAACATTGCACTTTCAGCTTTGTTGTGAGTAGCTAAGCAAATGTGTTGCCAAAGTTTGCAAATTGGTGAAAAGCCCACGAGTATGTCAATATATTTCGATGTATTCGTGTATGTACACATCTATTAAAAAAGTTTAGAACATATATGGCTAGTGTTTATCGGTTATCGATTAATGTTTAACGTACACATATATAATATACTGAAAATAAAAGCAAAACAAACAAACATTTAGGACACTCGCGCACAAATTAAACACTTATAATTGAGTTTCGCAAGTTTTTCTGTAAAGATTGAGAAGGGGCGAAGTCTGCGTAGTACACATGAACATATGTATGCATTGTATGCATACGTTCGTTCTAGTTACAATCTTGTAGGATCCTCATGAATACCAAATTACTAAAACTATATAAATTTGAACGATAAATAATAATATGCAAGAAACTAGGTAATTACACATCATCATAAGAGTTCGATTGGACCAACTAGTTATGTTTTAATTACGTTAGTATGTACGTATGTCTTTACATGTGGCATGGAACTTACATACGAATCGTTTCTCTTAAGATAGATACACAATAAAAGTATATATATTTGTTTTATATATGCACAATATAAGTACATCATAATATTGTACATAGTCAAAAAAAAAAAAAAAAAACAAAAAAAAGAAAGTATCACAATTAGGTATAATTATTTACATATGCAAGAGAAGCATGTGTATGCATTTGTATGTGGGTATTATATTGTACCTAAGAAGACGGTTCCATTAAGTTCATATTGTATATGATTCTTCGAAGTTATATAGATATTTATGTTTGTTAAAAAAGTCAGCATTTCAACATATCTCAATGTATCAACAATGTTACACGATATTGAAACGTTTACGAATGTCGCGCAAAGAGAAATTGAAAAATTAAACGCTCCTGCAAGAGAATAATTCCCTCTGACTGAGAGCCTATGTGAAGAACATAGTTGTATATATAGGGGCTAAACTAATAATTAGATACATTGTGATTGAAATTGCGCAGATAATCGAGCAATTATATTTTAATTTGTGGCTCATTGAGTTTTTGCTTAATTTGTGCCATATATTTGGCTGATAGAAAAAGTTTAAAATAGATTCTTGAAATTAAGCGTAGAAATGTAATGAAACATTTTTCTAGAAATATAGATATTCAGTCAGTATTGAAATATATGTATATAGAAGTATATGATTTATATTTATGTATATTCACGTGTACAAAGTGTGCAGATGTGAATGTACGAAAGGACTAACAATACGAGTAATATAAATGTGTAAAATAAGAATGATTGAGAAAACCCAAAATACGAAACACAAATTATAGATAATAGTCTAATTTAGTTGTTAGCATCGACTTATGCAATAAAGTATGTATATATGTATATATGTATGTATGTATGTTGTAGGTATTACGAACTTAAAATTGATTAGATTAGGTATGCGGTGTATTGGAATGTGTGAAATGAGCTGAAGGTTAGATTTTTATATTTTTTATTACTAAAGATGAATAGTGAATATTGAATTGAGTTTGAAAATGCAATACGTGTTGGTTAGTGTAGTTCATGTAACTGTGTGTGAATGTGTGTGTATGTATGGCCAATAAATACAAGTACACAAATATCACGTAAAATGTACGCAAATGTATGTATGTATTTATGATTTTGACGAAACATCCAATTAGTTTGTAAGTGTATATAACTAGATATATATATTTATATATGTGTACTTGTGTATGTGTGTGTATATGTGTATGTGTGTGTGTGTGTGTATCTGCTTCTAGTTAAGCATCAAGTTTATAGTCAAGTACATACCTCCTTCAGCGTTGGCATCGTCTTGTGTGTAGCAAAGCATAAAAGCTAGAAAAATGAAGAGAAAATAAAAAAGAGAATCGAAAAAGATATACGTTTTGGTCAGTTCAAAACAGAATAGCAGTAAAAATTAGATGTAAATATGTGAGAGTAGTAAATAGTTGGTTTTTTTTTTTGCTTTTTTCATTTTTCTTTATATAGTATATGCATGTAATTATGAAAGATGAGAAATATAGTTTTTCAGTTACATTTTTTACACACACACACATTGCGTGTGCTTCAAAAAAATGCAGAGAAGGTAAATAGAGAGAATTAAATTGATGATGATATAGTATTATTTCCTGTATTATATTGTTGTTTTTCTGTTGTCTGTAGAGCAGCAGTAGGTAATATTTAGCTATAGCAGTATATAGGTAAGACAGGTAAAAGCGTTATGTAGCTGTTCCCGAGCACGACGAACAATTTGTTGTATATGGTGCAGCACAACATACATAACATATATCTGTCTATATGCATGTAAGTAGCTGAGTACATGTGTATGTATGTATTAGAATTAATGAGCATAGATATGAATTGTTGTTGTTGTTGTTTTTGTTGGTTGTAGCGAACGCTGAAGCACCTTGATGTCTGGTTGGGGATTACATACTCGAATATTTTGTCAATTCATTCACACTAGCTCTTAACATTACATATAAATATATATGTGTATGTGTGTGAGTGTGTGTGCTGGTATAAGTACGTGTGCATTGTTAGTAAAGCTCAAATACTGTGTGCAAATGCTTACTCTCGTTTACAGGTGAATTTACGAGTGTGTGTGTGTGTGTATGTGAGAGGCCCACTGCCAGAGGCACAGATTTAGAGGTAACCCAGAGTGTAAAACATAAACCGTATGCAAACTTATGCTTAAACACAACCAATACATGAGTAGATATAACATACATACATATATGCCAAAATGGTTAGACATAAATTTAGAAATCTATATATATATATATATATATATATAAATATATATATATTTTTATAATAAGTATATAGTACACATTTATAACAACTGATATCCCACGAAATATATAAATAGATATATACTAAAAGACATGGAACAATATACACATGTGTGCGTATGAGAACACACACGCGCACACAGGCACACACACTTACGCTGCGGCTCATTTGCTTGATTATTGTTAACATTGTTAACATCGATTTCACTGTTGCTGTTTACAAATCCGTTTGCTGTAGATATCACAGGGAATTCACACACCCGAGCACACAACCCACGCGTTTAGAGAAGACACAACAAAGTTGAATATCGATTATGTTCGAGTGTGTGGGATGTGTATGGGTGTGTGTGTGTGTGAATGATTCATTTGGGGAGTACGCACAGGACCATCGCAAATGTGTGGAACGACACAATAAAATATGAAAATAAACAAAATAAAACGTAAAATGCATGAAATAATTGAAAAACAAGACAAAAACATTTTAAAATATGTTAAAAAAAAAAAGAAACAACAAACACAAGAAAGAATGTAGAGCATTTATATTCGTATTAACGCCGAATTTTACTTACTTGTAGTGCTTAAACTTAATTAAAAAAAAAAAAGAATTCGAAAGAAAACAAGAAGAACGACTTGCTTCGGCAGGCCGAAGTTTAAATACCCTCGTAGCCATTTAGTTAAAAGTTGCGTTATTTCGATCAATTGTTCCCATGGGTGCCATAAGATATAGGAGCCTGATTTTGCACGCCTTAATGTTCTTGATAGAAATATATTGACATGTTTCCTACACAAAAAGGTATTTGGCGACCGAATCGAACTATGTATATGTAGGTGTTCGATTTTAATAGCATGCCAGGAGCATGGGACAACAAGTAAATGTCAAGTACAGTAAAAATATCTTTAAAAGGAAATTTATATATATCTACATATAGATATGTTGTCCCTTCTGCAGATATGTAAGAATGATAACCTCCGAACTAAGCAAAAAGATTGCATAGAATAAGAAAAGCAGACAGATGAACATGTATATATCGGCTGTTGGAACTGATGAAGAGTATATATACTTTAATCTACTCTTATGCGAAATCAAAATACAACCTACAAGGGTATACAAATAATATAATAATTAGATCGAGATGGTGTCAGTGCTGCCTGGCACTGGCATAAGCGGACAAGTATGTGTATTTGTTTTGCGTGAGAGTGTGTACGTTGTTCTCGTGGTACAAAATCAATTTGTAGAATACACTTCATAATTTGTTTATTAAACATAATCAAAAACAAATTTGAAGCACACATATATGCATAAAAGTATATTAAGAAAATGAAACGCTTCCGCTTAAAACTTAAATATTTAAAAAATAAATTAAAGTTGAATTATTTCATGACGTTACACTGATCAAAAACTGAAGAGTTTTTCATTTTTGCGTGGGCTGCCAGGCAGGTGGCACACGCAACGGCACACGTACACACACACAGAGAGAGAGAGAGAGAGCGAGAAAGAGATATAGAGGCAGGAGGAGACACTTATTGTAATTATATAATTAGACAACGCACAGTTGCACACACATAGATGCCACACGAAAAGCATTCAACAGAGTGAGAGTGAGATAGAGAGAAAGAGACAAAGGCACATAAGTTAAGTAGTGGAAGTGAGAGAGCGCATAACAAATTATTAACAAAATAAATTGTTGCTCTGTCGCTCAAGACGTTCGATGCTTTTGTTGTTCTTGTTCTTGTTCTGATGATTATTAACATTAACATTATCATTATCATTATTATTATTGCTGTTGATGATGCTGTTGTTGTTCTTGTTGTTTGTTGTTGTTGTTGTTAACGCGTTTTTTGTATTCTGTTTGAATGCCACGCGCTGGAGCTTTGCTACTTACGCTCTTGGTCGCTGCCATCTTCGTTCTTCTCATCGCGACTCTTCATGAATGGGAACTTGCGTGAAAATGTAAAATTCTTCTTTTTGCGATCCAACGTTGATTGCTGAGAGACAGAGAAAGAGAAGGGTGGTGAATGAGCGAGAGATCACATTCATTATATCTAAGAATACAACAAGTGCATGCTCAAGCGGCGAGCTGCCTTTACATACCTACTACTTTTTTATAGACAAAATGCATTCTCGAATAACTCGGGTATTGCCAGACTGATTTATATGAAATTTGATAGGATTAAATAGAGCACAAACATGTGTGCATATACCAAAGCACAAGGCTGCAGCTCCAATAAAATTTCTACTGCTTTGAGAAGACATCTTTGACAGGCGTGTCCAAAAAAAAAAACTACTCTCATTTAGTCTACACCCGAGATTTTGAGAAGAAGCTTGTTCCAACCTCAATATTTATCGGCGTTATGAAAAGATATTGCAAAATGTGCATGTATAAATAAATGCGATCTGAGTGTGTGTAATACGAGAATATATATTGATTTTGTAGCTTCCAGCCGGATGGACAAACGGACATGAATGGATCGACTCAGCTTGTTGTGCTGCTCAATGCATATTAACTACATCATAATTGATAGCAACGCCTTGAGTTTAGCTAAGCTAACTATATTGTCATGTCTTTGCCGCTTCAGCAACTTTTTGCCTTTCGTGAAAATGCAAGTATGTTTATACCTTATCTAGATTGTTGTTAGCCGCCGCATGTCCCTGGAACTTGACGCTGCGATCACGTGCACGCATTTTACGCTCCCAGCGCCGCTTCGATGGCACAATACCGATTTGTTCGTCCTCATTGTCGCCGAGCACGCGTCGCGCCTGCCACCACTCATCGTCGGAGGCATTGGTCACATGCAGTATGTCACCGTGCTTAAAGGGCAGGCCGCGCGACGGCAGGCCATCATCGCGATTTGGATCATAGTCGAAAAGGGCGCGTACATATAGCGAACGCTTCTGTGTGGTGCGGAGCAGGGTGCCAGAGCCGCCGGCGCTAAGCGCCGCCTGTTGCTTCAGCTCCTGAATGCGTGCCTCGAATCGATTGTAATCCTCTGGCCGATATTGTGCAACCAATGTGACTACGCCGCCAGATGTCTGCGACAGAGATTAGTTATATATGTTGCCTGGTTGCAGTTGGGGTTACGGATGCTACTCACTTTTAATGCCTGCGCCGCCTCCTCGTGTGTGGCATGCGTCAAATTGACATTGTTCACACTGAGCAGCTGATCGCCGCGCTTCAGCTCGGAGCCAAGATCCGCCGGACCGCCGGCCAATATGAATGATACATAAATACCCTGGCCATCCTCGCCGCCGACTATATTGAAGCCCAGACCTTGTGGTCCCTTTTGTATGGTAATGGTGCGTGGTTCTCTGTTGGAATTAACAACACACAAGGTGACAATTTAGTCAAATGGCACGCAATCCAATAAATTGGAAAAGTTGTTTAATTAGATAATGCGTAAAGACGCACAAAACTGGGGCACAACTCACCTGGTTATATCCTCTGTGCTGACAGCACGCGGTGTGCCCGGTGGCACGGCCGCCAGGACATTCGTTGATGCGTATCTTGAGCCGGGCTCTATATTATTTATTTTCCAAATTTATTTCCAATTTGGGTATTTTATTTAATTTGTTTGTTTTTTTGTTTTTTTTTTTTTGTTTTGTTTTGTATCAAAAAATAACAACGAACCGGTAACGTTTACACACATACACACAAAGTAATGCACACACGTGCATATATAGAGACATGAAATAGAGAGGGGTAAGGGTAATTAATGGAGGTCGCGAGTTTACATATATTTTAAGAGAGTTTGTAGAGTAACAGCCACAGGACAAGATAATCAAATCGACTCTCTCGCGAGTGGTGTGGTGTGTGGATTAAAAAGAAAGAGAAGCATATAATATAACTTAGTAGAGAAACCAGAAAAGAGTAAGGCGAAAGTCGAAAAAAAAGTGTGTTAGAAATCAAAGAAATTAATCAACACTTGAAAGTTGACACTGGGAAATCTTTCAACACAGGAAATAAGAGAGAATTGCCTTGAAAATAACTGTAGAAATTGGGATTTTTAACTGAATATTTCTGTGAAGCTTACTTTCAAACTGTCGATCAGTTTTTATGAACTATTTAACGAAAATTCAATAATTTAGGGATATAAGTATAGAAATTTGCTGACATACGAAACATTTTCCTAAACTATAATCCCAGTTTTTTTTATTTGAATGCCGCTGTCTGTAGAAGAAGAATTTATATGAATTATAAAATTCTGGGCAGCGCTTCAAGTCATAATACAATGAAAAGTACAATAATTATTTTGTAGAAATTGTTAAATTCGGAATGACAAAGGCGCGCTTTATATATGAATAAGAAAGATACAACTAACAGACATTTAATGAAATAAGAATAAGAAAAAGTGAAATATAAAAAAACAGTTGAATCGTGAATAGTGTTCGTTTGCTTTCCAGCCTCAATATGGATATACATATGTACGTATGTACACACATCTAGACACATATAAATACATAAATATAGATGTATTAAAATATAGAAATAGATGATCTTATAATAAGCACAAAAGACAAGACAAGGTTCAAATATAATAAATAGTTATGCATGCATTATAGAAGATGCCATGTTAAGTTAAGGTACATTTGCAGTCGGTCAAATGTTTCGTTTTGAATTGAATGAACCACACTGTTGACCAGTGCTCCAAAATGGTTGGTGGATAACAAACAACACTGAAATACGAGCAGCTTAGCAAGCACGCAAGCAAAAGCCGTGCAAAATCTGTAGAGATTGCAGAAACTCTCCCGAATGGTACGAAGTTTGAATTGAATCACGATTTAGATAGACAGATATATATATATATATATGTATATATAAATATGTACATATAGGTGTTAGATAGAGAGCATAAGATATAGCAACAATAGATTAGCAGTTAGTAGAGAGCCCAGTCTAAATTCAGGAATTGCCAACCTAAATGAGTATCTATCAAATATGCACATGCATATAGTACATACAGACTTATATGTTTACATATAGACAATGTTGTTTCGTGTTTATATATCTTGTATGCTAGAATGAGGCTAGTTTTATAGATGGAAAAGGACTTTTAGCTGCTGAATGTGTGGCTCTTATTTGAAATGTAAAGAGAATGTTAATATCGAGTTGTGAATAGTTGAAGTTCAAATATGATTCGCTTACGCCTTGGCAAGGGTGATTGGGAACGGCTGTGCTCTGTGCCGCCAGCAGCAGCCATTGGCATTGCTAGCTTAGCATTAAAAGCTAAAGCTGAGGCAGAGGCAGAGGCAGAGGCGGAGGCGGAGACGGAGGCGGGTGCTTGTGGTGGTTGTGTTGTAGCTGCAGATGCAGCTGCAGCTGCTGTAGCTGTATCTTTAGCGTTAGCTGCTACTAAGTTGCTGTTGTTATTGTAGTTGCTGTTGCTTTTGCTGTTGTTGCTGCTGCTGCTGCTGTTGTTGTTGCTGCTGCTGCTGTTGCTGCTGTTTATGTTGTTGTTGTTGTTGTTAAGATTGTTGTTGTTGCTGCTGCTGCTGCTGCTGCTGACTGTGGCAATATTATGTTGCACTATATGGCTGCTGTTTGAGCCTAAATTGGTGCCGTAGCTAGTGTTGGATGTGGAGGTGTTTGTGGTGATGTTGTTGGTATTGGAAGTGGTTGTGGTTGTGGTGATAGTGGAGTTGGTGATGACTGAATCTGTGACTGAATCAACAACTGACTGCCCAACATTGTTAAGCGCACCTGCAGATTCCGAATTAACTGGCTGCTGTTGCTGCTGCTGCTGTCGTGTGGCAGCTGCCAATTGGGTTTGCGACTGTGAATGCGCCTGCGACTGCTGGCCAAGCTGTGCACTGCCCGACTGTGAGGCACTGCTCGTTAAATGCTGCGTTTTGCCCACAATCAGTGTCACCTTATCGGTGATGGACTTGAGTGTGCCCACAGCCAGTTCATGCGTGACATTCTCCAAATTCTTTTCGCTCTGTAAGTGAGAGAGGGAGAAACAATGTTGTAGTTTATTTATTGTTGTTGAATTAATTCATGATTTATGCTTACGCCGTTAGTGCGAACCGCTATTAGCTTGTCGCCAATGGAGAGGCGCCCGTCCACTTGGGCCGCACCGCCATCCATGAGCTTGGTCACATAGATGCCATTGTCGCCCGGTATATGCTGATTGCCAATGCCGCCGGCAATTGAGAAGCCCAGACCTTTGCCGCCCTTGACCAAATCAATTTCGATCACCTTTGGTCCCGCCGGTGCCGACGCCGACGCCGTAGCCGAAGCGGAGATCGCCGTTCCGCTGACGCTGTCTAGGACATCGGCTGTTGTGGGTGCGGCAGCTGTTGCACTTGCGGCACGTTTCCGTTTCACATGCAGCTTCACGATGTTGCCGGCCTTCTTGAGAGCATCCACAGCAGAGGCATGCGGCACATCTACAACGGAGACATCGTTGACCGATACGATGATGTCGTTAATGCTCAGACGTCCATCGGCAGCTGCGGCGCCGCCCGGTATCAGCTTTGTGATGTATATCGAGGTGTCGGTGCCAATATGGGGATTGTCGGTGCCGCCGGCAATCGAGAAGCCCAACCCGGAATTGCCACGCTCCAGCTGTATGTCCTCATAATACCAGCTATCGTCGCCATTCACCTGCGCATTTGAGAGATTGACAAAAGTTGTTGGATGCATTAGCGACAGCCTGATATGTGGGAGTCAATGGACAAGTTGTTAGGATCTGCATTTGGCAACGATGAAAGGACGCACACACATACACGCACACACACAAGCTGCGTGAGCCAATGTTGAGCAACAATCAATTTATAATATATATTATTAATATGAAGTTTCCTTCGCATGCATAGTTTAAAATTTATTGCTAGTACAATTAACGACTTGTGCCTGATAAGTAGATGATAGCGACAGTTTTATAGATGTGTGTGCATTTGCATTTCCGCACCGGATGTAGACAAAACACAAATGCATTTAAGACAGGACGTATTACAAATACAGATAAAGCAGCGCTTATTGTTTTTTGTATTATTTTTAATTTCTTTTGCTTATATTCATTTTGATTAAATGACAAACACTGACAAACACTGAGCTGCCTTCGTTGGGCGCTGCTTACCTTCGTCGAGGATGCCTTGTGTAGCTGAAAATTGTTGGACCGAGAGAAAACTTAAGATTGTGAGTTAAATCATAGTTGGTTTTCAATTTTTTCTTTAAACTTTATCATTAATGTCGAAGTTCTAACACTTTTTCAGCTTCAAGAAACTTGAAAACTTTTTAATAGTTGTTGTTTAAGCAATATATTCAATTTTAGAATTATAAACTTTTAGATAAAAGATAATACGATTTTGCTTTCAAGAATAATTCCATATTGAATTGTTAAAAGGCAGGGATCGAAAATACATATATATTAAGTGGTCGGAAAAGTTGACTTTTATGCATGACACATTACGTGACAGAAGTATAATACCCTGTAAGTTGATCTACAAATGAAAAGCCATGGAAACTGATAGCACTTAGCTGAGAACTTCAACATATATAATATAGAATACTTGAGTACTTTAACAGCGCAACTTTAGTTAGTTTTATCACATAAATATATATATATATATAAATAAGAAAAGGCATTCTTTGACTTAAAAATAACCTGAGGAACACAACTTTAGTTACTTTTATGGTGTAAGTAAAACAGCTTTTAAATTTGTGAATCACAAAACTTAGGACGTGAAACAATCAAAGATGTTATCATGACATATTTATTCGGAAAAATAGCCAAAGAAAGCAAGTGGAAAATTTAAATCCCATTGAAATACAGAATTGTAACCTGGACTTTAGTTTCAAGTGCAAATAGGATTGTAAGGGTTATCGGCCACATTGTGTTATCTGCAATATGATTGAAGCTAGAGGAAATTACCCGGCATTGAGCGGCGAAAGTTAGCAAGGTTAGCAAATGCCAGCCTGAACTTCAGACAGATGCAAATGTATTTTATCATTTATTTGGGTTTATTCTTTTTAATTTCAGTTTGTGTAAAATGCCAACTACAATTGGGGATTTGAACCGGCAACCTTTTACGCAGGCAACGCACACTTTTATGTATGCTTCATTTTTGTTGTTTTCTAAATACCCTTTCCCCCACTTCCAGGTCGAATCTTGCAAAAGCCCAACCTAACCGCGCACTTTCTTGTTTAAAACTCAGGAAAGTTTAGCTTGCCGTGTTTTACATAATGTATCCAAAAATATTTGTATATTTAGATATGCACAGCACAGTATATATAGATGAAAATGATTTGGGGAAAATCAAAAAGAAACGACCAACAATACGATATATGTTTATATGCATGGTAAATTATGTGCCGCACCCAAAATCAAACTATAGAAACGTCTGTCTGTGTATAAACACTTACAACTTTCGAATAAGTGAAAATTGCAACATTTAGACAAACATGACAATACACACGCACACACCTACACACACGCGTTAAAAACGAGTTCAATTGATTAGCAACTGGGTGTAAATGGATTCATTAGCCTGGCGACAAGTACTTATGTATATCCCACAGTAGCAACAACAACAAGAAGAAACAAAAACAGAATTGCAGCTCGAATGCAAAGCTGGCTGCGTCTTTAAGCTGCTCACGTGCGATGCCGCGGCGCGGCATTCGAATTGCTTATTAACCTTTGACATTTGCCGGGTCAGCACGTCAACTGTTCGCCAGGCTACGTGACGTGAGTAATTCGCACAGCTCAGCTTCAACTTGGAGCAAATTGCCGGCTAGCCACCATCCCCCTTCCCTTGTGATTCTCAAGCCAGGCATGTTAACAAGAGCGGTAGGTCAGGTCTCTGTCGGCATAAGTTCGCAAGTGTGTTGTGTGTGTGCTTTATGAGCTATAACGACATCGATCTCGTGTTACATCCAAATGGGACACATGCACTGCAAAGCTGTCTGCAACCCTCTATTCGAGAACGGAAGCTTTCATTTCATTTATTAGACAGTTTATCCGGCCGATAAATATTCGACATGCATTGTTGCTGTGTGTGTTTTTCTGTTTTGCTGTCAAAGTTAACCAGTTGTCTTTGGCCCAATTACATTTTCTCACGCTCTTGTTAACTCATTTATCTGCCAGTCAAACTTTAGCAGGCAGTTTAATGAATTATCTAATATTTGTTATGTACAAGGTTGTACAAGGTACATTGGCAGCTTTCCTATGTTCCTGTTAAGGTATGTCTGAAGCTTACAATTACATTTATTCATGCTTCTTGTAAGCTGATCTGCCAGACACATAGTGTTTTCTTTGGTCTATTTGCTTACTTTCTGGGAGTTAAACTCCATGTTAAATATTTGACATGCGACGCTACGAACTGTTTTGATCAATGGCTAAAAGAATTCCTATTACCTGACCCAAGACAATAGCAACTGATAAGATTCACTGGGGCTTATGAATTTGATTAACTTAATTAAGTTGACATTCTAAAGTCAAAAGCTAGCGGCCAATATTGGACCGAGGAGTCTTATGTAAGCAATTACATCAGAGGTTCACAATTGGAACATTTTAAAGGCGTTTCATCGAAGGTCGCTTTGGTTAGTTAATAATAATGCCCAAACAACAGAAACAACAACAACAACCGCAAAGGTATTTCCAACTGTTGTGTTTTAGTTTTCTCGTGTTTTAGTGTTGGGCCACAGCACTGGCTACATAGATAGGAACAAAGGTATAAATATTATGGGCAACATACTATTCATATCAGCTGCCGAACTTATCTTATCAGCGAGAATCATATGCTTGGCGACTATGCTTTGGTTTGGGGTTGGGTTTACCACACACACACACAGACGCACAGACGTACGCACAGGTAATGCGCGCACCAGTTCCAGTTCCAGAATGTGGCAATTACCGTTTTTTTATTTAGCCAAAGATACAAGGCAGCCACTTGCTAAAGTAGCATGAGTAAACATACACACATCAACAAAACAATAGTTACGCTTGAGACCAGCAGTTAAATTTGAATTGCTTTGTAGGAAACATGTTTTTCAATTTTATATACAGTGTTTACACTACACTTAATCGAAGACTAGTGTTGGAGAATCTTTCAATGGAATATTCTAAATAAGTAAAATTTAAATGCTATGAAAAAGTCATGACCCTAGCAATCTACTAAAACACATTGTCACTCTCTGATTCTGATAATATTCGCATCAAGTAAGCTAGCTTCGAGTTAGTAGCCTAGATTAACCTAAAATATTTAGGATAGGTTGGAGCTTCCGGAAAGCAAAATAACATTGTAATTCGGCATTTTCAGAGATGTCTTGACACCAAAACTCATATCCGTTTTTTTTTTTTGCTTATGAAAAAACTTTCGAACATGACTTGAATTAAAGAATTTTACATAAATTATTTTTTATTTTAACATTGAATAAAACTCTCATAGTATGTTCTTTTTAATATTAAGCATAATTTGCCTAATTCCGAATGCACATTACAAATATAATAAATTATAATTATTTGAAATTTGATTTGAAAATGCATATTTAAAATCGCATTCAACCGCTTCTATTATTGTGATCACCAGTGTACACGTATGCAGCCATGTACATACATTCACACATACACATACATACATATGTTATGTATATATACATAGGCACCAAATATGGCTCGGCAAATTGCCACCAAATGTGAATGAGTACGAAATGTTTGGGTGTGGATTATAAATACTATTCTCTCTTTCACCCTCATCCCCGCCCAACGAACTCTCGCTCGCACTCTTTGTCTGATTGGAACCTGTGACGATTTGACGCTGAGCCAACTGCATGCGCTTACATACACACATACATATACAAAGGCAATGTCAACAATGCCGATTGTGTATGTGCATGTATTTGGTTATACATATATATATGTCTGATATATATATAGTACAGTATCTACGAGTATCTAAATAAATCGAAACCTGCACAATGCACACCCACCCGAACCTGAATCAAATGGGAGGCATGTGCCCCAAATGTGGTTCAATATCAACATTGTTGTCCTCCAGTCTGGCAACCACAAAAGGCCGCAATAAATCCAAATTGTATACAAATTTGAAGACGTGCCTTGATTCAAGAATTAGCAGTCAATAAGTTTTCAGATTGTATTTTGTTTATGGATTTGGACATTCTGATATATATCCATATACATGTATGTATACATACATATATTTGAAACATATGTTAAAAGTTTTTCATATCGCTACATAATATTCCATTACGATATGGATACAATATGCATATCCTATTCGCCACCGAAAATGAATATATGTATACATATGGTAGAAACATTCGATATATCAAACGCACATTCGTTATATCGAACGCACACTGTTGTTAAATACGAATGTTTATTCAAGCAAACACCGTTAGGAGAGCCAATGGAGCTTTTGAATTTGTTGTTTGCATTTGGGTGGTGCTCAAGGCAGCGGTTAAATGTGAAGACGAGTGAGTTCTATTTCGAGCAAATTATGCGATCTAGCGAGAGAGCGAGTGAGCGGGAGAGTGAGAGTGAGTGGGACAGAGCAAGTAAGAGAGACTAGATGAGTGAAGGAACGTCAGCATCAGAAAAGAGCCCTGTTTACATACACGCACATGCATATGTGTATACAGATACATGCACATTTAAGTAGGTGACATTATGCGTGGCGGCATTCAAGAGAATCAGAAAGGGAGAGAGACAGAGATGCAGCTGTCAATTTTGCAAATTCTACAATGCACGCCCATTTACTGCCTTGCTTACTTAGGCACATTCACATATTTACTCGCATACATACACATGAGTGTGTGACTGGGAGAAATTCCGTTGCGCATGCGTAAAGACATTTGTTGAAGTTTATACGCTGAAATTTGACATACAATTGAGGACAAACACGCACTGAGACTAGAGAATTTTCTTGCTGCTGCCGTTTTTATACATTTTATGCTGTCTAAATGTCTGGCGAAATTTAAAAATAAACCATGGAATCATCGTTGAGCATTAATAGAAAAACAGCCGAAATATTTGTTAGCTTCCGGCGCAAAACGAATATTGCATAAATCGGTGGAGGGAAGTACTCTCCAACGCGATCGATATAATGCTTGATTAATCGTATTCAATTTATTATATTTCGATACATTTGTAATCGCATGCAAATACTTAGTTTTTGTAAGTTTAATAGGTGAGCACTTTTTCTTTACCGAATCCAAATTAAATAGTGATGAGACTTTCTTAATAAAGCCGCCGCCGCCGCTGCTGCTGCCATCCTGACGCTTCTTTTTGCGTGTGGTCATGTTATTATCACAATGCGTTCACTCGCTCTCTCTCTCTCACACAAAGCGATGAACGTTGCACGTAACGTAACACAATCACAAATGCCGGTTGAGTGACGTCGCAGTCGCGTAAACGTTTACGTTAATTGTTGTTACGTTGCAACGTTTCGTTCGTTCGCTACGTGCTTAGCAAACAAAATGTTATAAATTTCCCTTTAGCTTTGCGTTTAATATGGAGTATAAACATACACACGTACACACACCCACATGTACATACATATATGTATGTTACTTGCACTCTCGCCGCGTGACTCACAATGCGCGCTGACACTAACAAGTGTCATCAACACAAAACGCAAAAAATAATTTTTAAAAAATAAATAATAACAACTAATAAATATGTAAGCACAACACTGAGGAACGGCGCGTTGCCAACGTAAGCGAGTTCGAACTACAACTATCGCTAAAAACTTGCTGGGCGCTGTTTCTGTTGCTGAGCGTGAGAGAATCTTCTAATCGCACACACATATATATTCACGTATAAGTTATGCTTTCCAAATCACATACATACATATTTATTTATTGTTTGCCAGAGCAAATGGCAAACGAAAAAAAAAAAAAAACAACACAACCGCGACGCTCTCACTCTCTCAGTGTCAACCGCCGACTATTTTGGTATTTTTTTGCGCTATGCCTTGCATGTGTATAACCTACATACATAAGTAAGTACGTATGTGCATGCATGTGTGTGTGTGAGCGTATATGTACGCAATTCTGACGAATGTAAAAAAAGTAGCGCAAGCTAAAGGCACAATTTTAAAACATTAATTTCCTCTAACTTCATTATGTATAACTAAGTATTACTGATTACACTTTGTTTTGATTTGTTGTATGAATGTCTGTATGTATGTAAAGGCATTAATATTTCATGCACAGCGTATAGCTTTTGTTTCTGGTATTTTTCAGGTCACTTTCAAGCACATTTCTATATGAAACACGCACATTTCCACTCGCCTTTCGCATTGATTATGGAAACAGGCTTTGTGGCGAAGATTTTCACAGACCGTTTTTATATTTTTAATGCGTTTACGCCGCAATTATGCGATGCCTGCTTCTTTTCCCGTGTTGTGTTGTTGGCATTTTTCTAGCGAGCCAGCGACTGACTAGAGCTGCACGAGCGTTCGATTGTTGCCGAGCCCACACAACCGGCCACCTCTAGCATGCTAACAAACTATCGTCGCGATGTTTTGGTATGCGTAACCGGTTATATTAGAGCTGATAGTTCAACAGTCTTAGCTGGCAGCACCGTACTGTTGTAGTTTACAGCGCCTCGAATTTCTTCACACTACACAATCGGCGCTGCCGTCACCAATGCACGATTACTATGATATATGATTACGTACGATTGCACATTTACACGCACGACAAGTAAGCAACGCCGTGTTTACTTTTTACATTTTCATAAAGGGAGTGACGCTTGCGCTTGGTTTGCTAGAGGCGTGACTAGAGATCGATAGCTTAAAGCCTGCCTATCGATACCATCGATCGCGGTGACCAATGTTGGTTAATACTACGCAAGCGTAGATCAGAGATGATTGCAGCTTGGCGCCAAACTCTAAAAACTCAAATGAATATTGTGCACAACAGACTAATGGAAAATTAAATTCCAACATGAACTACATATATGGGTAAACAATTTTACTACACGTATTTTACATATTAAATTTAGTGCATTAAAGAAATGTAAGTGACAAAAACAAACTTCATTAACGTAATTTGATCTTTAGATAATTGAGCAAACTCATAAAACATATTTTAAAGGGTATACACTTCAAGTTTATCATATTTCTCTCCATTATTAAGGTAAATGGGTAAAGAGTCATACACAGATAACCCTCTAAGGAATGTAAATACTAAATGAAAAGACCAGCAGTAGTAGTGACAATAATTATACAAACCATAAAAATAGCAAATCAAACGATTGGAATAAAAACTATGCATTAGAAAAATTGATTCATTGTCGTTTTTAATGTCTTATTAAATACATAAGTACATATCTTATAATAATACAATATAATAACATAGACATGCCCAAATTATAGATGATATCAATATTAAATGTGAACAAAGGAAACAAAAAACAATAAATAAAAGTCAAAAATATGTAAGGCTATATATATATATATATATATATATATATATATAGCATACATACATACATTTATTTAGGATGATATTTAGTAAACGTAATGATTCATTTCGGTTGAAAAGAGCGTGAATAATGATGGGTTTGGAGAACAGTGGCAAAAATAGTAAACATGATAAGCAATAACTGGCAATAAAAATACACTGGTTAGGGTTTAGATAAACTAGACAGTGCCTCAAAATAGGAAATACTGTGTAAGCTGTGTCACAACAACAGTTTCAGCGGAAGCGGAAACAAGCGGCATTGCCAGCAGCCATTTCGTTTCAAATGAAGCGCCAACTTAAGCTAAATTAGCTATAGCCAAAATACAAAAAAAAAAAAACATTTGGTGCAATTACGACCTTCCGGTCTTTAAGGCCAGTCTGGCTATTCATTATGATTATTATTATTATTTTTGGTTTGTTCATTTTGTTTTCTTGTTTTTGCTTTTTATTTAAGGTCGGCTCGACTCAAAGGCTCGTGCAAGCATTTTGGAATGTTGGGTAGTTTGGGCCATTGCCTGTTGGCAGTTGTTGTGGCTTTGGCTGCGGCTAATCATGCGTGCATTTGTATACGCCCCATTGGTTTTTTGTTTTTTGGTCTTAATTGTCGCCCGTTTCGAGTATTAGTGTGACATGATTTAGTTTTAGCTTTGGCACAGAGCAAACATAATTCATTTAATTGCAGCCACTTACTATCTGAGTCCCGCTTCTGGCTGTCGTGGACTGTGATTGCGCTAGATGCTGCTGCTGCTGTTGCTGTTGATGTTGCTGCAACTGCTGAACAACCTGTTGCTGCTGCTGCTGCTGCTGCTGGGATGAGCGCGAGTTGCGCACCTGTTGAATGGCCGCATCATCGGCTGTGGCATCTTTGGCATTCTCATAATCAGACTCAATGCGCATGCGTTGGTTCTGCGAAAGAAACGTATATAAACGAAAAAGTGCATTACAATTTGACAACTAGACACGCTTTTACCCAAAATGCCAAAATGGCATTTGCTAAATGTGGCATCAAGAAAACAAGTGTCGTTTCACAGTTCAAATAGATCTAATGGAAGACATTGTCTTTAACTGTCATTTCCGGCGGACTCTAAAGCGTATTATTATTATTTCAACTGCCTCTTTCGCAGCTTTTGTGCTGAAACATGCTACGTCATCATTTTTAATTTAGTTTGTGCTATTACTAACTTGAATTGGGCTTAAATCAATACGATTTGAGCTACACTTTTAAATAACTGTCATTTGCTTGGTTCATATGATTTAACAGCGTTGCCAGCCTGTTTGCACTTTGCTAACCCAATCGCGCTTAATTCCAATAAGACTGACGCTTTAGCATGTGCTAGTCCTATTGGATTCCTTACATTGGCACAACAGCAGACATAACGGCCGGAAATGCTGCTGCCGCCATCGCCGTCGCCATCGCCATCGCCATCGATTTCCTGCAGTTCCCTAGCTTTCTTCTGCTGCTGGCGAGATTTATGCTGTTGCTGCTGCTGCTGTTGTTGTTGCTGTTGTTGTTGTTGCTGCTGCTGCTGTTGTTGTTGTTGTTGTGATGGCGGCGGCGCAGTCAACTGTCGTCGACGTCGACGCATTCGGACCGGCGACCGCGAGCCGACATAATTGGAGAAACGACGTCGCGAATGCCGCACTATCGATACCCAATCGATCATGTTGTCAAAAGTATTTTAATTTGTTTGGGCTTTATAAATGTCCCACAGCGTTGCATTTACAATGAAACCAACACATGCACAGGCACACACACACACACACAAACACAGACAGCGGGAACAAAGTTAGTTCTTGTGTATTTTTAGCGTGTTGGTTTTCCTCTTTCTTGTTTTTCTTTGCCTAAGTACACATTGTAATACACAGTTACTGAAAGTAAGCAACAAGTTGTGTGTGGGTGTGTGTAAATGCCTCAACCCCCCGCCCCAAGCAAAACTTCCCTTTTACGCCCACTCTCAGCCGGAGGCTGCTGTTTGTATGTGTGTGTGCGTGTGTGTGAGCATGAAATAAACTCGAGTAAATGTGTACATACATACGTTTTATATATGCATATGTATGTACATATTTACAGTTAATCCGCTTGTCTACATGTATTTGTGCCCTTAACGCCGCTTTTAGCTCATTTGCTTACATTTTTGATGTTACGTACGCGGAATATTTTTACCTATTTGCCTACACACACACACACACACACACACACACACACACACACACACACACACACACACACACACACACACACACACAAATATGTTTGTATGTTTTTGCTAACAGTTCACATGTCGAGCAGACAAGAAAACATCAAATGAGAATCTGGCAACTAAATACAGTCGTGTAGAGTATGTATTGGCTACACTCATCGTCATTTGTTTAAGTACAGTTACATAATTTTGAAGTTGAAGGTTCTTAACAAAACTCGATTGTTACATATTTCCAGAATTATTGGTTGTGCTTTTAGGAGCTGCCAATGCTTTTGACATTTCTTAGGTCTTTAAACAAAATTACGCTGAAATTGTTGAAATCTTAAGAAGTCAAGCATGATTTCATTCAATTTTAAATACTACTACTGAGTGCCTACTGTCCATATTCGCACGACTTGGAGTGTATGTGTCTTTTTTTTTTTGTTAGTGTGGACCTTATTTCCTGCGCACCCACACATGCATGTACATATGTACATATATTTGTATCAAGAATCACACTTGCTATGTATCTATGCAAAGGACATGCTGGGGTACACCGAGAATTCGTCTACAGTTCGTAATCCTTATGAAAGTTAAATGAGCAACTTTTTTGCATTCGCTATAAATTTAAGCTCAATTTTGCGTGACTGATCTGAGCCCCATAAATTGCCAACGCACAATGTGCAGAAATGTATGTTATCATAAAAAACCAGTAAATTTCAAAATTCACAAAGGAAAAGGCCGCGTTTCTTAGCGCTTCAATCGAATGTGCGCGAAAAACTGGCGAAAGACAACAAAAGGCGGCAGCGACGACGGGCGGCTGTGAAGCAAGCTGCCAAAACAAAAAACAAAATAATAATACTTATATATGTGCACATACATGAATACATATATATATATATATATATATATACACATATAGATATATATATACACTTTTTTTGTTGCCCAATGCCAACGAAGAAAAGCTGAATGAAAAGCCCAAAGCCGACTGAGTTAATATGCTACATGCATACATATGTACATAAACATGTTCGTATGTATGTATGTCAATGTGTATGTACAGTTGTCTGGCTACAAGTAAAGACATCGAAATATTTTGTGAAAACATTGCCAAAGCGTATACGTAATATACAGTAAATACAATACATACATAAATGGACAACTATGCCTAGACACAACTACATACATACATACATATATGTATATAAGCATTGCTGTATATATCTTACAGGTAAAACAGTTTTGCGTTGAGATCAGCGCACAATTTAAACCCTTTGGAAACTGTGGCAACACTTAACATTTGCCAGCATCTACGCTGAGGATGACACTTGCAAGCTTTTGCTGCGGCAACTGTGAAGCGTTAGAACGAGATAGCAACATGTTGTAATTAGCAACGCCAGCAGAAATTGTATTTCTTTTGTGTGTATGTATAACATTGATGTTTAACAGCTGTTCGCCATATGCGTATACTATATGTAGGGGCATGTGTGAGTGTGTGTGTGTGTGTTTCACTGGATAATGTGCCAATTTTGTAAGTGAATTTTTAATATTGAAAATTGTGTATGTGAAATATCTGAACTGCATATGCACATATTTGACCTGGTATTTCCTAGAATCTTTTTAATTTGCTAGCAAATCCCTTTGATAGCATAATTTGTGCCGCACACAATCAATTAGAAGAGCCACGAGCAAAAAGTGTTTAAAAGTCGAATCCAACTAATTTTGAAATGCCGGGCAATTTGCACACGATGGCGACCTAACGACAGTCCGCACACAGGCGATGGGAATGGAGACGGTGGCCGAGGCGGAGACGGAGACAGAGACGGAGACAGTTGACGGATACGCGAAAGTTGTGCGACTCGACACGTCGACGGCGCTGCTGTTACTGCCACGCGCGACGCACGAAGCGCCAACGCCAGCGCCAACAGCAGCAGCAACAACAACAACAACAACAACCGTAATAGTCAAAGGCATCGTTAAAAAGGGGCGGGCAGGAGGAAAAGGTCTGTATTGGGCGTTTAAGCACTGTGCACTAGTTAAATCGTTAATCGTGGCTATTGAGCAATTGATGATATTGCATTTTATGCACAAGCATATCCTTGAAACTCACACCCCCCCCTCCCCCCTCACCATACATACGCCCACATCCTTATCAGTTATCAGTGTGCAATCTGGTCAAAAGAAAATCACCAAAAGCTGTCGCTACATTTGCATGCACAGTAAGAAGCTAGTATATATGTGCATACGCACACACACACACAAGCACAGGCACACGAATACGTTATGACTTACATACGTTGACTTACGTTCTACGTTAACGTACTACGCATGTCAACAGCTATACGTGCTTTAGCCTGGATATCGCCTCTACAATAACAAAAGACCGGCGTCGGCGCAGGACAAAACGACGAACAGACGAACGATTGCGAACCGACCTCGAGGCTGGAGCACAAGCGGGCGGCTGAGTACAAGGCGTGAAGCCCCCCCCCCCCCCCTCCCCTCCACCCCTCATCAAGCAGCTTGTACAAGAACATGTTCCCGTTATTCTGCCCCTGACTGGGTCAACACAAATCATGTTGCAAATACAAAACAGACGACGCTAACCGTTAAGTCCTTATCAAATTTAAAAGCGTTTTGTGTGTGTGTGTGTGTGTGTGTGTGTGTGTGTGTGTGTGTGTGTGTAAGCCCAACGGTTGCTTGGCTACACACAGACCCACACAAACAGCTTAAACAGAGGAATAGAGCAACGGCTAGAGAGAAAGAAAGAGAGAGAAAGAGAGAGAGAGAGAGAGAGAGGGAGAAGGGAGGGAAACAGCGGGAGGTAGCAATAAAAGAAGGCGAGAAAAGCAATCAAGGCTTGTATTACAGTAAAAACCTGTGAAATTGACCCGCCTCAAACGTTTTGACACTTTTCTAGTTGAGCACTTCCTTAGCAAAAACTTTGCTTTGCTTTACTGCATACTGATTTCAACTTTACGCTCTCGCGCGCGCTCAAACAACTCTCGCATTTTCGTAAACACACACATATAATTGGGTATACAGCATAAAAGCCATTAACTGTTCATTTTTATATGCATATATATTACCAACAACACCCGCCCAGATCGGTCTCGCAATCAATCAATCGGTCAATCAATTTGGCGACTACGCGTAAAGACCTTAAGCATGTCCCGGTGATTGCTTTGCTAATCTCTATAATCGATATACTTATTATTAACACCCAAAATTCTAGTTGGATTCCCATATTAGTTATAACAGCAGACAATGAATGAATAACTGAACGATTTCATAGCTTTTTTATAGCTTGATTTTGAAAATAAATCATGTTTGAACTTGGTTCTTCAACGCATAAAGATATGTTTACATAGATCGATACCAATCCCATGAAATAAGGGATCTTTCTCAATAAGAAAAAGCAGCACATATATATTTGGGATATTTCATGAAATTATGGCAAAGATATCAGACATCCCGATAAAGCTGATTTTAACCGAGACAAAGTTCACAAAATTGAAGTATAGCTCAATTAGATAGAATCGAAATCCGAACAAAATCAAATTCTTTTCAAAGATGGTTTGGCTTACATTAAAAAAGACTTTTGAGGGAGTATTAGCCCCAATCATTGGGTGCATCTAACAATATGTCGTAGATGCCAATTTTGGGCAGAGATCAAATGTAGCCCGTGAGTTCTATGTGAAAATATATACGATAAACAATATGTTCAGTAGAACGGGGGCAAATGTAAATAAATAAAATATTTATGTACGAAATAGATATATAATAAGCTAAGATTGGAATTTAGTTCCTGGAGATATGGTTAATGGGAAACCAGGTGTACGAACTAAACCTCAATGCGGAAAGCCAGTTCGAACCGAAACAAAAAATAAAATTGGAAATTGATAGAACCCAAAACAGGCCCGACTACATTTAAAACTGATTTGTTTCATTTCAATTGTATGACATAACGATCCGAACTTTCACAAGTACCGATATATATATATATATATATATATATATATATATATATATATATATATATATATACCTATCGAAAATATATCTACCTACGTCAGCTTGTGATCGTAAGACTTTCTTGTCTTGAAAGTACTTCCTTTCCCTATAATAAGCAATATTAAGAGTATTTTATATCCTCTTAACTGGTATGATATGATAAATAAGTCAGAGAGAATATTATCTCAAGATAGTTCCTGTATAAGTAACAAATCGTAAATAATATATAGATTTCCATAAAGTATGTCTTGCGAGTTATATATTAGTTATTTATTTGATTATATTGATAATTGTAGTATGATTATGATACGGAAATGGATGAATTAATGTGCTTACCAAAATCTCTTCCAATTCATTTTTAAATGTTCTGCTCAAGGCCTCGGCATGCGCGGCCGCGTTCGCGTTCGCGTTTTGATTAAGATTTGAACTTGGATTGGGATTTGTGGCATCGTTGTTAATTTCATAGACGCAATTGCGATTTAGATTGGTTGTTTTTATAAACTGCACGGTAGGTAAGGATTAAAGACATAAGGCAGAGATAGAATACAAGAGAGAGAGAGAGAGAAAGATAGTGAGAAAGAGTGAGAGAGAGAGCAACATGAGATAGAGTTCCAGATGTTTAAGTTGACTAATCAGATTTTACTATATACATTTATATGCAGACTATTATAGAGAGCCAGGCATAGATATGTGGAGTTGCAGGATTGTTAATGATCGAATGATTTGATAATGCTCCCAAAAGGAAATCGAAAACATTACGTTTGGATTATCTCGGGTTAGTTTTTAGTAAACATGAGACAATATTTGTAAGTACAAATAACTAAATACAATTTTGAGCTGGAAAATCAAATCATGAACTACACTAATCGTATCTTTTGATATTTTTCTATATCATTCCGATATATTTACAATATAAACTTTTAGCTCTATTCTCTACGAGATATTCATTTGAACAGCTACGAGCTTGTCCGCTACGAATTATATTTATCTATTTATCTAATCAGGGAACATTTACTACAAAGACTATATATATATATACAGATATATAGATATATACACTTACATCGGCTATCTTTGTGGCCTGTCCATCCTTCTCCCACTTGGTTGCAATTTGCAATGTTTCGGCGGTTTTTTGTTGTATGCTTTTCGAGTCATCCAATAATGTTAATTCATAGAATTCTTGTATATCTGAAATGCGAAATAATATACATTAATTAGGGCACATTTTATACTATATTATACATGGAGTTATGGGGTACATATATCAACTATAAAAAAAAACACTTTTGGCTCGGAGTTGAAATCTTTGAAAGTCGTAGAGAACATATTTCCTCTATTAATCTTTTCTACCTACTCTTATATTTTATAGGTTCGTATACATTTAATAAAGTCTTAAAACTATCTTTTGATTGTCGTACATATTTTCACAGAGAAGTCGGTCTAAAATTCTAGTCAAAATAATTCTCATTAAAATACTTTATAACTCGTAACCGGTACAAGCCAATGCACTTGGGTGTCTGCTTCTGAAATAAGGAAACGTTTTGACTTCTATTTCTACACAGCTTAAAGTTGTTGAACAAAAAACTCACCTCAGTTTTATGGCTGATAGCATGAGCTATAAACTTTTTTTCAGTGTATGCCACAGACATCATCACATCACACATCTGATACAGACATGACTATAAAGTCGTAGCTCGACAGTCCAACACTTCATAAATACATTATGGAGTCGAAGACTTTAAGCCAACATCAACTACATATCCTTGATTATGAATGGGTAAATCTAAATGCAGACGCAATTCGGAAAACAATATTCTATAATATGATTTTGTATCTTGTACCCATTAAAAATGGCTTAAAAAATGAGCCAAAATCTTTCTATGAAAATGTATGTTACGGGCAGAGGAAAGCAACTCCTAAGTATATATGAATATTCTTAATCAGGATGGCGAGCTGATTGATGCCTGTCTGTCGCTATATATTCCCACAATTAAAACAATATTTTTAAGGTATTAAAACATAAATCGGAATTGCAAGAACTAGAGATACCTAATTTGCTAAAAGAGTACTAAATTAGCTGGATAGGTTTAGTTTTAGTTTTTGGATATCTTCTTCCGATCTCTCCATATCAACAAAAAAATTGTCCGCCTAGAGCCTTGTGCTTTAGTATGCAAACGCATTCGGGTGTTATCTGAAAGCCCTGAAAACTTTTTAAGGATCGAACCAATAAAACCCGAGTTATGCCAGCCCCATAGAAGATGCAGCCTGCGTGCGTGTATGGAGCTGTACAGGGTATCTGCTAGTCAGGCACCACCGACCACAGCACACTTGTTATACACACAAGCTTGTGCTCAATTTGAGTTTCGGATAACGCCTTGACTGGTTGGCATGTGAAAAGTTTTTAGGTCAAGCGTTAGTTGGGGGTGTGCGCGTGTGTGTGTGCGTGTGTGTGTGTTCGCATTTGGGTCTGGCCCATGCTCATCAATAAGGCGAAAGTCAAGTGGCCTAAATGTAAAGCTGAATGCGTCAATTCAATTTCCTGCACACGTCAATATCTCTAACCCCGCTCACGAGCGAGACAATGTGGATAGCAAGGAAAATGCCTGCATATATGCCCGTATATATATATATATATATATATATATATTGTAGATATGGTATATGTGGATAAATTGGATACATGGGACACAAAGCTATGTGTAGATGGAATTAGCAACAGCTGCCCTAACGAGACGTTTGTTTATGCAACGCCTGACACTTAGCGTAATGTATATCAAGTTGTGGATTTGTACAATTTCCGTCCTCGTCTGCTTGACTCAGCACAAAAACCAGAGAGCTGTGCGCAGCATTTGGATTTACAATGAAACCGAATACCAGGCCGACGGACATGATGTTATCAGCTTAAGCATATTTTTTTCAAGTCATCTCAGCCGAGGTTATATATAGGACTTTTGTGTATCCTCGTTTTCATATTCGAGTAGGTACACATGGGGAATACTAGGCAAACAAATATATAAATATATATATATATATAATTTTAAATAAATGAAATAATGAAAAAACTTAAGCGAAGATATATGCACATCTTATTCTCAAGAACTCATGATTAGATACATAATATAGACTATTCTTAGGTCTTTCCAAATGTTAACTGATTTCTGACTATTGTAACTAGATGTTACGAAAAATTGTGTTATACTCACCGAGCAGCGCTTGAAATAGGCGAGACTTAAAAATGCGGATGACCCGTTCGATTGCGATACGCAGAGCACGATCCTGTGGCTCCGACAGACGAGCGTGATAATCCTCGAGCAATTCGAGGGCTCGATGAGCTTCTGCAATGCAAAAAAACAAACAGAAAAAATATTATATATTCGCACGATATTGAAGTACGATAAATAAAAAAAAAGTAATTTTATGCTCGATCTAAATATATGTTTACCTATGCTGCAAACCGAACCGAACCGATATTCAAATTTTGTTTTAAAATGGAAAAAATAACGTAGTTCAAGGCTGTGTTAAGCAAAGTTCCCGAACTGAAACTAAAACCAGCGCGCTGGTTCAAACCATGCAACGAACCAGCGAGAATCTTTTAGAATCTTTAAGAATTTTCCGCCGTGGTATATACCTAAATAGATATTTATATATAGGAATAAGAGCACCTAACTATTTAGTGTAGTTCAACTTTATCGTGAAGTTAAGTTAAATTTCCACCTGCAAGGCTGGAAAGCGGGCAGATTGCAGTTACATAACTCTTTTCGAATTGATTGTTTACACATTTCGAATGTTTTCAGCAATTCACCTGCTCGCTCTGGCATTAAATATATATTCCATATCTTCCATAGCTTTATACAGTTGGAAGGCTTGTAATATATCTGATTTGACGACCCGACGGGGTTCATTAGCCAAACGTTCAATTTACCTAGACCAAACACCTGCATAACATATGTCTCACTTTGTGTATCTAGGAATTGTTCGTCCGTTGTCAAATCCTCTCCAGCTGCAGGCACCTCTGCCGGCAGTGAGATCTCCTGCTGTTGTTGTTGTTGCTGTTGCTGCTGCAGCTCGAACGTCTCAATGGAGCTGCAAAAGCGGCTCAGCTCAATGCGTAGACTCTCCGAGCTGCTGCTGGCAGTGGATGCCAGCGCTTGGCTGGAGAGGATGGGCAGCGCCTGTGGGCCTCTGGGTCGGCGCAGGCTGCACGATTGCGCCTCAAACTCTTCGCGCGAAACATCATCGCTCTCCGACTTGTCAAAATAGCCGGACTCGACGTCCGGCGTGCGCTGCTCCGCCGTGGATGCCAGCATATGCCCATATTCGAGCAGATCCTGTGCCGAGTAAAAGCATTCGACAGATTCGCGCACGCTCTCCCTGCATTTGGCAACAAGCGGCTCGGGCGGCACCCGGCGCTGGTTGCCAGCTGGCTCCCCGACCACTTCGTTGGCAACCTGCGGCTCTGGAGCTGTGCTGGCTGCTGCCACTGATTTGGCAGCCACATTTACATCCAGCTCGACATCGATTTGCTGCAGTTGCATTTCTATGGCTTCTGTTTGCATGAGCACCACCAGCAGTTGCTCTGCTGTGGATTGCGCTTGTTCTGCATCGATTTGCCTAATTGGATCGACCGTATCTAAGTTGTCAACATCATCAACGGCCGATGAGTCCTCGTCCTCGTCCTCATCCTCGTCGTCGTCGTCATCGTCGTGAAAGGTTTTATCATCGCTGCTGAGCAGCTCCTCATTGGGATCGCTGCTCTTCTCCCGGTCCGAGTCCGTGTCCGAGTCCATTTTTTGTATATAGCCCAACTACACTGGACTACACTAGACACTAGACAACACAGCAACCGGCAGCAACTTGCTCTGTGCGGAGACCGCGTCGTACTGCTTTATAATAACCCATCCGCATAGGGGACCAGGTGGGTACTGTGTGGCCTCTAGTTCAATAAATCAATAAAGATTGACTTAAAAAACAGAACAGAGGCAAAATTAGCTGCCATCCCCCTTCGCGACCAACATTTACAGGCCCCAACTATTTATGCTTTACCATTCTGGCTTAGCATCAGTTTTTGTTACAGTTTCGGGCTCGAAGTCTTTGGGGTCAGTGCACAGTCTAACCTGGATGACATTGCCATAAAGTTGGCCAATGCCCGGCTGCGAGGCTTTTGCCAACAAATTGATATGCATACACACACACACACACACACACACAAATATATATATATATATATATATATATATATATACGTGCCTGCATACGTACATATGTGTGTGCATATATATATCTTTGGCTTCTTCGGAAGCACGTCACATACCTATGTTGACCTTCATTTATTGCCCATTTCAAAAGTTTGGCAGCATTTGCTTGTTTCTAATTTTCTTCTTCTTCTATTTGTCTATTCTCTGCTTCTTTATTTTTTTTGTCTATTTATTGTTTTGGTGCAATAGACTAGCGTATAATGCATGTGAAAATGTCAAATCATTTTAGATCAGGACAGCAGAAAACAAAACTTAAAGATGTTGCTTGGTTCGGTTCACGGTTCGGAGCCATGGCTCGTTTGGAGGCACGTGAGCCTGCTTTTTGGCCAGGTTTTGGTTCGCCACATTTACTACGTGTAGGCGAATTTATTAAAATGTATATTTAGTTAATACCTTATATTTTCTTCGACAAAACTTAGACAAAAATTGGGCTGTTCTTTGGCTAACTAAACCGGTTTCAGGTTTGGCTCGTGTTATATTAAAAAAATGTAGATGATCGGGTTCGATACGGTTCGGTTCAAAGCCGGCTCGCACTTTCTTTTTCGGCTCAAAACCGGTTCGCGCTTTTTTCTATAACAATATTGGATGCAACATGTGCGAAAAAGTTGTTTACAAATGTTTTAGCTGTTTCCTCTGAATATTTAGCTAGAAAACAGCTAAAGTGTCAACACTAGTAATCATGTATTACATCTCTCTATGCTATTTATCTGAATAGCTGTTAAAATAAAACTGGCTAATTGGGATTGGCTGACATTTGTCTCATTCTTATTAGATATTTGACTTACTATGTTGGATCCTACATATACATATGTATGTGCCATAATTAAAACACAATCGATCCCCTTTCTATTCAATATACTATTTATATGCTCTTCAAGGAATCTTCATCATGGAGAAACACAAACACAGGCTTTTTATTTATTTATTTATTATCTGGTTTGTTGCTTAAATAAATGATTAAGATATGTATTCCCATGCGCCATAGATAATTCCAATACCTGTACTAACTATCAAGATTTGAGATCTTTACTAATACCAACTATTAAGATCTGAATCCTATAGCTGTACTGACTATTAGGATCTATATTCTTTATTAATACTAACTATTTAGATCTAAGATCTATATTTAGATCTAAGATCTATTTTCCAACAATTTTCCTAATTACGAACCCCTAAAACAAGTTACTACAATTGTTAATTGAACGAATTAATGGACTTTAGTTGCACAAACTAACTAAGTTTCAAGCACAGCATAAAACACCCTCTTAGTTTAAAACTATTTGCGAAAGTCTAACTTGTTTCCCCTTTTATCTAAGCTCTAAGGACTGTTTATGTTCTCAAGTAGACGCGTCTAGTATGTGCTTAATTTATGCAATTAGTCAATATACCGCAAAATGTTTAAACATTTTGTTGCATAAATAAATTAAAATCAAAATGTGTGTAAACATGAAAATAAGCTTACCTTGCTTTTTCACTGGCATTTTGTAGCTGTTGTTGTTGTTGTTGCCTATTTGTTGTTGTTGTTGCTGTTTGTTGTTGTTGTTGTTTCTGTTGCTTTAGCTTTGTTTGTGTATTTGAAAGTCGTTAAACTCTATATACATATACATTCATATATGAACATACACACATACATACATATATATTTATATACATGCACATATATGTATATCACTATTATGTTTATGGGATTTGCTGTAAAATCTGTTATACGAGTTATATATATATATATATATATATATATATATATATATATATATATATATATATATATATATATATATATATATATGTGTGTGTGTGTGTGTGTGTGTGTGTGTGTGTGTGTGTGTGTGTGTGTGTGTGTGTGTGTGTGTGTGTGTGTGTGTGTGTGTGTGTGTGTGTGTGTGTGTGTGTGTGTGTGTGTGTGTGTGTGTGTGTGTGTGTGTGTGTGTGTGTGTGTGTGTGTGTGTGTGTGTGTGTGTGTGTGTGTGTGTGTGTGTGTGTGTGTGTGTGTGTGTGTGTGTGTGTGTGTGTGTGTGTGTGTGTGTGTGTGTGTGTGTGTGTGTGTGTGTGTGTGTGTGTGTGTGTGTGTGTGTGTGTGTGTGTGTGTGTGTGTGTGTGTGTGTGTGTGTGTGTGTGTGTGTGTGTGTGTGTGTCTGTGTGTGTGTGTGTGTTCATAAGCATGTATACACGTATGTGCTACATATGTATGTATGTATGTATATGCATGCCTTTGGCTCTGAAACTAAATACATACATAATTATTGCAAATACATACACTTGTCTATACACATATAAATATGTGCATATGTGTGTGTGTTCTTAACGCTTTTTGTTTATTATTGTTAATGTTCACTTATTTGGTTTTGATTTAGTTCAGATATATGTATGTATGTATATGCATATATGTACATATAAAGATATTATTTATGCACTCAGTTTGTTGTCTTGTTTGTAAATATTTTCGGCAGTTGTCGGTAACATTTATAATTTCAATTTTGACGTCACAAAACTTTCAACTTATTCACTATGATTGAGTGTGTGCGTGTGTGTGTGACTGTGTGTGTGTGTGTGTGTGTGTTATTTCTGGTCACGCATGTGCACATTACAAGTCAAATTGATTTCACTTCATATTTCCGATTCAATGCGAATTGAATCTGGCGGCAGACGATCTGGAAAAGAAATCAAAACAGAAAAAACATATGTACACGTATGTATGTATGTATGTATGCATAGAACAAATTTCAAATACATATTTTCTTTTTATTTTATTGCCTTTTTTTCAATTAAATATGTTGGATGGAAATGTAGCTTAATAAAAACACGCGCACGCACACACACACACACACACGTTCACGTGCATTCGTATCGAAATTTTTTGAAACGAATTCAAGACAACAACAAAAAGTAAAATAAATACGAAAAAAAGAACCGTAGTGTCGCCCAAAATGTTTGTCTCTTTTGTCACGGCTATTGTCTGATTCCTAGTATCTGTCGTCTGCTGTCCGATGTGTGGCGGCAATACATATGTATGTACATATACATATGCATATACATGTGTACACATGCATACATACGTACATATATGTAAATGAGTGCGTCTCTTTTTGCGCTATTTCAGCGAATTCGCTTGCTTGTTTTGTGCTTTTGCTCCTGCAGCGAATTGTATGAGGCAGGCTGATATTAAAGAATCTTTCGTATAGTTGAATACTTGAAATGTACATAAGCAGAACGAACAATAACTGATTGCCTCACGCGTGCCTGAGCATTGCAGGAATACTACGCTATTCATGCCTGGGAACCGTTAGCCGTCGCACCCGCGCCCCCACAATACACCAACTGACTCGAGTGAACTCGAGCAACTGGCCGAGCGTGTGAGCAAGTCCCTCGTAAAAAGTGTTGCCGAGTTACACTTCAGAAATAATCAAAACAAAAAAAGTATAAATTAAAAGCAGTTTAAATTGTTAAGTGCAAAGCACATGTTAATACAAATTAATTGCTTGTAATATACGATTTCGATCGAAAGCTGGTCCTTTAATTTAAAAAAAAAAATAGTCATGCCATTGTTAACATTTTTTAATAAATGGAAATTGAAAATGTGCCATCATTAAAATTTTCCCATTACCTTTAAATTATCGACTTACTTTGGTTTATTGAAATGTAACATATTTATGCCGAAATAATTGTTTTTAAAAATCACAATCTTACGTTATATTTATCATTTGCTAAGACCGCAACATTTTTGTTTTTAAATAACAAAATATTGGCAAATATTGGCAACACTGTTCGCGAGCGGTGTGCCCAAAAGTTCTCTTTCAGACGCGACTCGTTTCTCACTCGACTCGTTTCTCATTCGTTCTGCTCCGACTGCCGACTGCGTCGTTGAGTGAGTTTCTTCTGTGAGTGTGAAGGATCGTTTGCAACGGTTAATTTTTTGAATATAGAAATAATGCCATTCACATTTTATGTATGCATGGCTTCTGATGATGATCATAATGAATGGGCCTAGCGCATATTTATTGCCACCATCACGAATAACACGCATACATATATATGTACGTGATTACATTCATACGCATTCCATGCAAACATTCCACTCCAAGCTGTTCCTAGTGCCTAATGTCCCTTAAAAACAATTCCGTTTCCTAAGTACCAACATTTTCATACTTAATTAACCCTGCAAGTGAGAACATTAAGCATATTTACATTGCCTTTATGAGCAGCGTTTTTTTTTCTTCAAAAATATGCATATTACTTAAAATAATCGAAGCGAAGAAAAATGAAAAGCAAAGCGAAAAGGCAACGGCTGATGAGCAAGAGGGCAAATGCGAATTAGTATGTGCGTGTGCGTGTGTGTGTGTGTGTGTGTATGAGTGTGTGGCTAAAGTGGCAGCGCCGGCAAGTTCAATCACCTTTGGCTGGCATTACAAGCCGATTACTGCCGTCTTATCCTGTCGTTTGGCTATAAGGACGAATGATTGCCAGCGTTCTTTTAATAATTTACGTATATTTCGCTGCGTGGAATGCATTGTATTGCTTGCTTTTCTTTGTTAGCCGCAATTACTCTAATTATACGTGGCGTATGATTGATATACGCAATGAAAGCCTTTTAATATGCACGCTCAAAGGTCCTGAGTTGAATTGCACGACTCGAGTGGTTCAAGCCAAACCACAGCAAGCCAAATATAGTGTGGTGTAATTAAAACAACTGGATGTGCGTCTAGCGTTTATTTATGCATACGTATACACGCACGCATGCACACATGCGTATGTATATTTGCATGTATATGGGTTACACGTGCGAGCATTACGCACGCACGCATGCATACATACGCACGCATCAAGGAGAACTCATTAAAGTATGCTATAAAAAGATACCGCTATAAGTGCTTATGCATATTCGTAGTGTGTGTACACATTCGATTTCCAGTTCGATTATTTAAAGGGCCGATAAATTATGCTGTGACCTTGACGCAAGTCGCTTGAATTCGGATTTAAGTTAGGTGACAGCTAAACGCGCTTATTTCAGCGAATGTTCTGTGTGTATGTATGTATGTATGTACGATAGTACGTAAGCAAACTATGTATATACTTTGCATGTATTTTTATAGCTGCTCTTGCATGTACGTATGTATGTATATGTATAATTGTCTTGCTGTAAGTGGCGAAAATTAATAAATTAATTTGTTATTCTTATTTGGCTCGCTTTATTATGCATGTTTGTGTGTGTGTGTGTGTGTGTGTGTGTGTGTGTGTGCGTAAGAGTATTTATTAATGTACACGCTCGCATACAAAAGCAATTGCAATTATACAAGATTTATTTCTTTTAGTTGCCTTTTGAATTTATGTACGGTATTTTTAGATAAGCGAAACAAATGTCTATGCAAATGTAGTACATGCCACACACCAAACACAAGTGTATATATGTATGTATTTATACTTGTATTTATGTTTTTGGGAAACATTACGGGAATTTGTTACGAAAAAAGAAACGCAGCGAAACGACGAGCGCACGAAGTTGTGTTTTCTTATTAGCTTATTATTAAATAAAAATAAAATATTGCGAGCAACATTTGCCAAATTTGCCGCCAAAGCGGGGCAGACAAATGCATTTATGTACATACATACATACATACATGCGTATGCAGATTGTATTATTTATGTTTATATTGTGCTAGCTTGTATTTGACGCACTTGCCGTGTGATTATTTCTTTAACAAAAGTACTGTTTTTTTATAGTTTTTCTTTTTACTTAACAGCTTTCCTTAGTGGAAGGCGAGCTCCTAAATGTAGGCTTATAAAAGAAGTTCTTATAAATGTGACTTATCCAGTTACTTTTTAATTATATACGTTTATTGCGATGGACGTTGTGTTATGCAAATAAAGAAAGCAAACATAGTTTATTTGTATTAAATTGTTCTATGTTTTACATACGTAAATACATACATATTTACTCATATGTGCACTATAAATTTTATAGCATACATTACTGTTACATATATGTATATGTAGCTATGTAAGCTATGTATGCACACACATACATATAAAGTAACTTTTTCACTCACGAACAAAAAGTTGAATAAAGAAGTTTTGACGTTTCCGCGCACCGTTATGAGCTCACTGATGCTCTGGCAGCTGATGCTGCGGCTGTCACGTTACACGCTCGCATACATGTGTAGCGCGTACATATGTACATACATGTGACTGCAAATCTATATGTACATACATACGCACAATTGTATGTATGTATAACATACTATGTATTTGATTATTTGCTTCGGCCCCAGGGCACTCATCACTATCAATTTTTAAACAACATGCCTGGTAAATATGTACATACATATACATTATGTATATCCTTATGTGTACATATACATAAAAAAAAATAGAAGAAAAAATAGAAAACACGCACGGCCGTGTTTTTTTTTTGCCCTGTTTTTACTTGAATATGTATGCATGTACATACTTATGTACACACTATTTTCCGTATTCATTTGTCAATGCAAATTGCATTGGGCTATTAACAAACTATTGTCACTAACAATGGAAAAAATAACACAATTCTGTATTACATACACGTTCACACATCAAAGGACATTTGCTTGGCACAGGCCTCGAGCATTTTATGTTAAATATAAATAAATTACTGTTTGCGTTTAGCATGAAGCACGTTGAATATATTACGATTTTCTGCTCTCTTATAAGCTCGCAAGTTACTTGGCTGCTGGTTGTGGCTGCCTGCTTTGCCTGCTGCTCGCATATCTGGCGCATGCGCGTTGCATTTGCATTGTGAGCACACGGCAAATGCAACGAGCACATACATACATACATATATGTACATGGGCTTGTAGTGGTACATGTGTGTAAAGATACAAATTGAAAAAATGTAATGCATACAATACATACTTATTAATCCCTGCAAATAGCTTGTGTGTGTTTGTGTTGTGTATGTGCCTATAAGTATGTATTATTATGCAGTCCTTGGATAAAACCACTTCGATAACATGCCGGCCCTACTTATGTCCAGAGTAGTAATAGATAAAATTATGAAATATCGATGTTTTGCTCCGATATTGAAAATAAAGAAAACAAAAACGTTTCCTAAAACATTGATCAAACGGGTTTATAACGGAATGTCTTGATGAGTCAATTAAAAAATGTATAACACCCAACTTCTATTGCAAGTAAAGAAAATAATTGTTTTATTTCTCAATAGATCACAGCAAACATGATCCGCTGCCATTTCACATGTTAGCTTCGATACTCTTAAGAACTTACATCACTAGACTAGTGCGCTTCTCATCGATATATATATCGACGATATTAACACAAAAATCAGCTGTTGCCGCTATTTTGAGTAAACGTGACCACGAGTCGACGTTGTTTGTGCTAACAGACGTTTATTATAATGGCGAGAAAACGGAAAATACCAGTGCGCAAGCATCATGGCATACGCGATCCACTTAAGCAAATCGAACAGAAGGAGAAAAAGTATGTAATTTACAATTGTTTATTCAGTTTTCGTGCTAATGCATTTTACCACCCAGGCTGGCCAATGTGACAAATAATCCACCGACGCAAAACGAAGAACAGCGCGCCTCGCACAATTTTAAACAGTTCAAGAGAATTGCCGATGCCGCCAAAGCGGGCAAAAAGATTAAAATTGGTAGCATAGGTAAAGAGGACAAGCCCAAAGTGCCAAAAACAAAAAAGACACAACCAGCTGCAGCTGGTGGACAAAAATCGACCAAGATTAAACAGTTTGATAACGAGACAAATGATGAGTACCTGCGGCGAGTTAATCGTATAACTAGCGCTTCCGTCAGAGAGGCGCAATATGAGGCCAAATATGGGGTCAATGTCATACGCAATCCGACAACGGGCGAAATAACTGTGCAGAAGCGCCCCAAAAACGAGATCGATGAGCTGTTAAAGCAGAAGCAAAAAGAGCGCCATAATCTCAAGAATGGACGTAGAAAACCCAATAAAGTAGTAAAGCCCGGCATGGATGCCAAGACGCGCAAAGAGCTTATAAAGCGCGCCTTCAAGGAAGCCGAAGAAGAGAAAGAGCTGGAGGTAAGCTACCCCAATCAAACAGTATATCGTAAGCTTAAACGCGCTCATTGTTCTCATTTGCAGGATGGCCCACTTCCAGAGTATAAGCAAGATGTATTTAAATTTGGCGAAATTGTGCATGGCCCGCCATCGCTAAAGACGCTGCCGCGTAAGGCAAGCAAGACTGAGACTGTGCCCCGACCTGGCCGCAAGTCGAATCTGTTGCTTAAGTCTCTGCTGGATAAAGAGGCGTCGGCGTCACTTGCGAGTCCTCAAAATGCCGCAGCCAGCAAACAGAAAACCGCAAGTACGCCAACGAAACTTCAACTCAAGGGCAAACGCAAGGATTTGCCCGCAGCTACGCGCAACATGCTCGAGGGCGAGCGCACCAAAATGGTCGATTTGTACCGTCAGCTGAAAAAGGAACAAAACGAGTCGAGACAACGGCAAACGTAGTAGTTAGTTAACATTGTTGTTCATTGTTCATTTAATTTGTAGCAAACATTCAACTATTGAAGAAGAAAGAAAGAAAACAACAACAACAATATAGTACAATGTATATGTAGTTGGATCTTGTCTGGTTTGCTTTTAAGGTTTTTGGTTTCAGAATTTCGAAGTAACGTCGTCAGCAACACGCACGGTGCACGACAGAATAAAAATTTAGCACCGCATTGTCCGGATTTGGCTTATCAGCCAAACACACAACAACTTCTTACAAGGTAATTTTAGAATTAGTTTTTTGTTTTAGTTTTTTTTTTTTTTGTTTTTAACGTGTGCAAAGAGCATGGAACATGGTGTTAATTGCAGCTGGGTAAGGGGTAATACAAGGTCCAGATTCGTGTTTGTCTTTGGTCTGCAACATCCAACACCAATATGCACTCCACAACGTTAACTACCTAAGTTACTCTGAGGGCCTCTACATGCCACCGGAGCTCTGCTTTTGCAGCATCTGAGCGAAACGCTGTGTTATCAGCAGTGATGTATCAATGAAACGATCCACACAATTGCTGAGGCACGTCTCTGTGGCATGGTCGAGTTTAGTGCTTGGTTTACCAATGCATTTCTCCCAGCAGATCTCATTGAACTCGTGTATCTGTGAGAAGGATATGTGGTTATTATTAAATGTGCAATTCACAAATGTGATATTGTCAAGTGTATTGTATACCTGTGCATTGACCTGTGCCTTTTGTTTTTCAATCATAAGAAACTCCTGCAGCTCCTTATCATTGCCGGATAGATTCTCGAAGTCGGACATAGCTGGTATATATGATTAACGCTTTTCGTCAAGTTTTCAGTGAATTTATTACACAAAAAAAAAAACTGTTTTCTTCTCGCCCGATACTTGAAATTTTTAGTTTTGAGGTTATATAAAAACTGACACACTAACAGAGTTGCCAGAATATTGACAGTAAATACCGAGAGTGTTGTAAAATCACGCAGCGCAGTCTGCAACAAGTTATCGATATTTGCCTCAAAGAAAATAACTAGACAAAAACAATCAATGCTAATACTGCATATTATTTTTTTTCCCTTCCGCTGTATTTACATTTTTTGCGCAACGTAGTTAGTTTAAATTCAAACGAAGTGCAAGTTAGTGCTTGATTATCACAGCAATAGAAACACGGCACATTAATGAGGCACCGACGAAGGCACCACCTAAGCCAAAAATAGGCGAAAAAAAAGAAACATAGAAAAGAACAAAATTATTCCGTTCGATTGTTTTGGTTTGGTGCTGTGGCTGCACCTGCTCAAAGCATTAAAATAACGCATAAAGTGAATATATTTGAGAGCGTAGCTAACGTCTGCGATCTGCAGGCGTCGGCGGGTGCGAGACGGTCAGATTTATTGAATTTTAATATTTTGGCGCACGGAGTAGCGTAACCAGCCGCTACGCAATGGACGACAGCAGCAGCGGACGCACCTCGTTGGCGGACAGCGCCAGCTTGGCAACAGCTTCGCTGCAGAGCGGCAGCTCCAGTCAAAATATTGCCAACGATGGCCTCATCCACGTCTACAATTATCGCAGGGGCGACTACGAGAAGTTCTCGCCGTCGCTTCACTGCGAAGAGATATGCACCATAATGTGCCGCCATATGGATATACTGCCCACAGCGGTGCTGCTGTTCGGTATACGCGAGCAGAGCAACGGCACCGAGACATCACCGATGACGCTTAAAGTAAAGCACAAGTGGCAGCTGCCCGGCGAACTGCTCAATAGCAGTGTGCGCTACTGTTTCCGGATGCGGTTCCGTGTCCCGGAACTGGACAGACAGCTGCCAGTGATTGATGTGCACTGCCACAAGTATTTGTATCACCAGATGCGCTACGATATGCTGCACGAGCAGATCGCAGAGATACGCTATCCGGAGCAAAGGGACAAAGTGATGGGTCTGGCTGTAATGGATATGGTAATTGACAGGGAGGAGCAGCTGCTGCTGGCGCAGGCCGTCGAGAAGGCCTACAAGAGCTATTTGCCGCGTAGTTTGTGGCGCGCCCACCGCATCTTTGTGCGCTCCAAAATACGCAGCACCTTTCGACGTCTGAACAGCAATCGACCGAACGTGGACAGCCTTAAGTGGCACTATGTGCATCAGATCTGCGACCTGGCGCCCACCTATCTAACCGAACAGTTTAATGCCACCGTTGAATATTTCCCCAATGAGTCAACAACGGAGCCACCCCATGGCAACGGCAGCATCGCCAGCTCAACGCGCACCTCGACCACAACGCTAGTCACAGGCTCCAACACGACCCTCTCTACCACGATAACCGGGCCCGGTAATCAGCGCAACGACAGCGGCAGCGACACCCACACACTGCGTGGCAGCCAGCAGACCCCACAGCCAAGTCGTCACAGGGCCTCCCAGCAGCAGCAGCTGCAGGCCAACTCCATACCCGTCTATGTCAGGCTCTTTCATCATGATTCACCCGAGCCGGGCCTAAAGGTGGCGCGCGTCACATCGGAAGCCACACTAAAGGTGGGTACAGCTGCAATTGACATTTGTGGGCATTTCTCGGAAACAATACGGCATGAACTAAATCTAAATCAAAAGACTCATTTCTTTTACGTACATATGTGCCAAGGGCAAAGGAATTATGCTCAACTGATTTGATTCGAATTGACAGCCAAACGTTGCGTTCTGGCGTAATCACTGCGCAAAACTCAGTCCATGGCTAAAAATAGTCCAAATAGGTAACGTTTTTGGGCTTCCTGACGTCAAGACTGCATCCTAGGGGGCCAAGAGTGCGGAAGACATGACCTGTTCTGACAATCCAGCTATTTTTGTTGCCATTCCACCTACTCAGCTGTGTTACCCATTTAGCCATTTTCCAGCTAAATGGGGGTAATGTCAGAGTTTCTAAGCAACAGCCTGTTTGAAGTTAAAACTGATTTAGCCTTTTTTTGGCATCTCAGCGACAAACACTGTCTTGCCAATTCAGCTATTTTATAGCTACATAGGGCTGATGTTTGAGAAGATAAAGATTGATAAAGATTTTAACTGCCTTAGCGATTTTGTTTTTTGCCAACTCAGTGACAGCAGTTGAAATTTCAGCTACATTCTAGATAAATTAGGCAGTTTTCAGAGTTTGACTTAGCTATTTTTTTTTTGGCATCACAGCGACAAGTCAAAATCCTCTTGCCAATTCAGCTATTTTCTCGCCGATTTTAGGTATTTACTGGAGCTGTTGATTTTAAGCTGATTTAGCCTTCTTTGGCATATCAGCGACAAGTTCTAACAGGTTTTGCCAATTTAGTTATTTTCTAGCTAAAATTTGGGTTATTAGAGGAATTGTCAGCCGAAAGCAGCTTTATTAAAAACAATAACAATACTTAAAAAGCTAATTCAGCTTGATTTAAGCTATGTTTAACATTGGATTCATCTGACTGTGACTGGGATACACAAAATATTTATATTTCCCCAAATTGAAGGGATCATAAGTTAACTACCTAACTAAGTCGGACTGTGATAACAGATATTCGTGCCTTATTCGCCTCTAATGGCTGTATCCAATAATTATAGCACTATCTCAAGAATAGACATAACTAAATATACCATGATCCGAACCTTTAGTGCAAGAGTATTCAAATCAGCCGGTTAAAATGCCCATATATTATCTAAGTGTTTCTTTTAAGTATTATGAATTAGCAAACTTTCACGATCTACTTGTTATCCTTGTCCATTTTATTTTGCAACCTCTTCAAATGAGTCGCTCCCCTCTATAATTTACAGTGGAGTCTTGTGGCCGTAGTCGAAGATATTTTCTCGCTTTATAAGGAGAGCGAACAGGTCGTGCGTCTGGAAATCGTTGGCTTTCCTAAGGGGTATCATATGCGCTTTGAAACGGAACACGAGATGAAATCGTTTATATCCTATCTGGGCATTTATATAAGGTACGATTTTCAACATAGAACAATTTATTCGGACAAACTAATTACGTTCAATTCTTAGATTGACAGTGAAATGGATGCAGGACTTGTGTCCATCGTATAAGACACCATCGCTGGAGGAGTTGGAGCGTTTGTATTGTCACGGACCCATCGGCGGTGGCTACTCATTTATGAAACTGCACGAGAACGGCGACAAATGCGGCAGTTATATTGTGCGCCAGTGCGATCGGGAGTATAACACATATTATATTGATATCAATACAAGAATGTAAGCTTCACCCAAGATATAGGAACCCGACGGTCTATAAGGGCCTATACAAGTAATATTATTAACAAACATATCTTTTGCTCTGTGCAGTGTGGCGAGAAACAGCGATCATGATCGATGCCAAACTGAGACATTCAAGATCATACGCAAGGACAAGCAATGGAAGCTGGAACACAAGAGCGATGAGCACATCTTTGATCAGCTATCAGAACTGGCCCAGTTTATACGCACCGATAGCCCCGATCGTATACGCATACCGGCCTCTAAATATGATAAGCCGCCGTTGTTGCTGCTCTGTTTGCCAAAAAATTTAAAAACCAAAAAGACTGAAGCGGAATTAAGTGAAGCGGAATTGCAGCGTCGTAATCCTCAGATATTTAATGCTAAAACTGACCTACAATGGTACCGAGGTAAGAACAATATCCGCTAGCCCAAAATCATGCACTTTTCCGTTATTACGTGGGATTTTGTTTAAGAGCATGGTAGCAAGGTAAGCTCTGTATTCAGTGGCACAAATTATTAATAGGATTTAATTAAACAAGTTTCCGTCATTAAAGTGGAAAATGGGCGGAAAACTGTTGTTTTTTTGGGTAGTTTTCATTAGGTAGGATTTAAAAACAAAAACAAAAAATAATAAGGTTCCACAGATATTCAATCGGAAAACCGACCTGCTATGGTACCAAGGTAAGATCTCTATCAATTATTCAAATCATTCATTTTGTACAAAAGTAGTTTCCTTCATTAGGGTGGGTAATGGGCGGAAAATGGTTGGTTTTTTTGTATGATCATTTTCATTTAACATAGCTTTCATATAAAAAATAAGATTTTTTTCTGAAATAAGACGTAAGCGTAAAATGGGGGAAATTTATATTCAGTTCGCACGGCTTTAAACACGTTTTCGATATAATCAATGTTTTTGGATAAATCCACATAAATGACTAAAAATGGATGAAAGTTCAGTGTCCAAATAAGATCTATATTAAATACAATAGAGTTGTGTTGTGATGTGCTGTGCTGTGCTGTGTTGTTTTTTTTTTCGGTAAATCCACGAACCCTAGCGGAAAATGGGTGGAAAGTAATAAATGGAAAAAATACAAATACAATCTATCTTTAACCGTATATTTTAAACAATCATTAACCCACACCTCGTGTTTGTAGACTCGATTAATGACAGCGACGATGACAAGGTGTACACAATGCGCGGTGACTGGATGCAGCAGGGCTCGTTCAAGGATGTGCCAGTCACAATGAAAATGCTAAAGTACGATGCGAATTTTGAAGAGTTCATGAAACTGGCGCAAACCTGGAGCCTAATACAGTCGCCGCAGTTTATTAAACTGTATGGCCTAACACTATCCGTGCCATATACAATGGTCATGGAGTACTCGAAATACGGGCCGTTAAATAAATTTCTGCAGATGCATCGAAACATTAGCATGTATTGTTTGCTGGACGTGATGCATGGCCTGGTGCGTGGCATGCACTATCTGGAGGATAATAAGATAATACACAACTACATACGCTGCTCCAATTTGTACGTTACCAAATACGACTCCGAGAAGTATGTGCTCGATGCCAAAATCAGCGATCCCGGCTGTCCGCGTCCCTACAAGCAATCCGAGTGAGTTGCGATTGCACAATACGTCAATTATCGAGCCCCGATTTATCGCTTATTGTTTTGATCTTCAGTTCACCCTGGATACCGATTAAGTACTACAACAACCTGGAGGGAGCCAAGCAGGATTCTAGCACACAGCTCTGGGCATTTGCGACTACCATTTATGAGATATTCTCGCGCGGCCAGCTGTCGCTGGATCAGTTGAAACAGCGCGATCTCATACGCAATCGAACCATTGATGGCGGCATATTGAAGCCGCTCAACCAACGCCTCTGCCCACCTGAAATGTACAATACAATTATGGATGGCTGGAGCGATGATCCGGATAAGCGTTTCAGTCATCACGACATATTTACGCGACTGAATGCCATCAAAACCCGCTTACAACGAAACTACGATGTGCCTGAAACGGAAATGGAGTCATGTAAGTAAAGCATTCGTTTTATACCCTGTGCCGATTCAGATTCAAGGGTATACGAATTTGTAATTTGTGCTGTCTGCAACTCCACGTGTTAATAGTTCGATTGCCGAGCCGATGTAGCTATGTTTGTCTGTCTGTTGAGTCTCTGGTTTAAAGCTATTCATATTGAATCTTGCATAGATCCCTCTGCTTACTGATGATAGTACATATGAGAGATATTGGACGCCATATCATATAGCTGCTATAAGAACTATTGGTGGATAAAACAATTTATGGATAAACGACTTGCTGTTCAGGATATCATAACCAAACTTTAATGTGCTCCAATTTGTATACCCTGAACCCACTAAAAATGGGTAAAAGGGTATAATTTTTTTGTTCAAATGTATGTAACAGGCAGAAGGAAGCATCTCCGACCCTATAAAGTCTGTCCCGTCTGTCCGTATGTATCTCACTTGAAATGTTGTAGGTCCTCCTACTGACCGCGGAGAACGAATTTGTTTCCGATATTCGATAACTTGCCCCGTTTCCAAGTAATCGATATATAATTCAATATCGATATTCCAAGAATTTCATGTACATGTACACACACATTCATGAGCGCCTGCTTCGAAGTCTATCAAAAGCATTGCAATTGCGATTGTATTGTTTTCTGTGCTGCTATTTTAATTCGTTTTTTTTCCTCATTATGAATGTTTGGTAGAGGTGGTGACAAGTAGCGCGGTCGATCTGTTGCGAGTTCGAACCCTTCCGAGGAATGTATTTTTGTTTCTGGCTGGTGTGGCTGTTAAGTAGAGGCGGCAGCAATTAATGTGGTCAGTTGCGAGTTCGAACCCTGCCTAGGGAACTTTTTTTATAATTATTTTTATTACCACTAAAGCAAACGAGCGCGTAGCCCGAGCTGCATTTGGTGTTGCAAGAAGAGGGTTCAGGGTATCGGGAGCTCCCGACTAGAGTCTTTTACTTGTTTAACATTGCCAATTCTAAACGTAAGACATCTATTTTGCCTTCTTCGGTTAAGTTTTCAAATGCCAAAATGTTTTGCAAACTTTTTCCAAACTACCTCCTCCTCAACTGTGCTGCAGCATTATGTAAACCTGTTTTTAAACTTTTCGAATTGTCCGTAAGCACTTCATCTTTTCCGACCATTTGGAAATAATCATATATTATCCTCCTCCATAGGAAAGGAAAGCTTTTGAGAGAATCACATCTCAAGATTTATGTAGCTCTATTATTTCAACTTCCCAGCATGGGTTCGTGAAGCGCAGATCTACATCGACTAATCTTCTTGAGTTTACTTTGCTTTTAATTGATGGGTTTAAGAAAGAGTGCAGACTGACGTCATCTATTATGATATTAGTAGGGCTTTCGACTCTGTCAACCACTCCTTGCTGCTTCATAAATTATGCCTTCTCGGCTTCGCAGTCAATCTCTTGAACTAGATTTCACAGTATTTGCGTAGCAGAACACAAAAGGTTCTTTTCAGAAATACGTTTTGTAAACGTATTCTGGAGACTTCCGGTGTTTCATAAGGTGGTCATCTTGGCCCGCTTCTCTTTATTCTCTTCATTAATGACATTCCCTCTAAACTGTATCACTCTCGAGTATTAATATATGCTGATGATGTAATATTATGCATTGGACAAAAGATATGGCATCATGTTATCTTTTACAAGCCGACATTGATGCGTTTCAGGCTTGGTGTCTAGCCAAGCTCTTAAATTTAAATTTCTCCAAATGTAAAGTAATGACTTCTTATAGAAGCCCTCCCCAATTGGTTTCTTACATCCTTGTTGACTCTAGGTGCCATTTTTGGGTTTCATTAAGCGATGGTCGAAGGAGTTTGAAGACAAACTTTATACATCTTTACAGGTTGTACCTATACTTGAGTATGTCTCATGGCCATCATATCTATCAAGACAGAATTGAATCCTTACATAAACAATTCTTGTTGTTTGCCCCTCGTGGTTTTAATTGGGTTCCTCGTGTACGGTTAACGTCATACTGATGATTAATCCTCCTTCCTTAATTAATCGTACAGCCATGCTTGGTGTAATATTTATTCAAAAACTAATTAATGGTAAAATCGACTCTTCTGTGTTGACTAGCAAGATTAATTTATGTACCAACACCTTTGTCGTTTCCATTTTGTTTGACTTACTATGCCTTGCATGAACCCTTCTGTGGTGATTATAAGAAGCATTACAGAGTACTCTGCTCAGAGTCTTGTCCTTCTCGTAGAATGTCTTCTATTCTATACTATTTAGCAAGTAGATATTTTTGTACTTCGCAAGCGGTAGGTGGCATGCAGGACATTGCGTTGGGATTCGCGCGAACAAAAAGTAAATGAGCAAAATCTTATAAGCCTTGGAGAAACAATCGGTTTCTGTTTATCAGGCTATCTACCAAATCCCAATTTAATTGGTGCTTTTAACAATCTAATTAGTATATCATTGAGTGGATTGATTAACATAATGAGCCAAGTGTCAGCACTTTGAGCTCGAAGCCCCGAGTAGACGGAAGACAGCAAAGCTGGACCCTTCACTTACAAACTGATAAAAATTGTATAGTAGGGCCATTATAGAAATCAGTTATATATCTGCCATGTTATATAAACTACGACACTACGAATATGCCTACTGAATTGTTATCTATTATGTTTTCTCAATATTTTGACAATCTTTGTCTCGATATTATACATATCATATAGGAATCTTCAATCGATATAGACATGTCCGTCAGAATGCGCAATCATATAAAATTACGAACTATATATAGTCAAGTCAAGTTGGGAACAAGCAAACTATGTGCTGGCAGCCAAGTTAAGAGCAAATATGTAATTTTTCAATTGGCATCAATATTTCCAAAGATATTTTCTTACAATTATTAGTTTATTATACCCTGAACCCATTAAACATGAGTAAAAAGGGTATATTGTATTTGTGCAAAATGCAAATGTATGTAACAGACAGAAGGAAGCATCTCCGACCCCATAAAGTATATATATTCTTGATCAGCAATCGATAAAAATCGATATCGACATCCTATTTTTCGAGCAAATTGGGTAAATAATAAGAGCAAGAGTCACCAAACATGATATGTTACTTCTAGAATATTATATATACGTCAAGTATCTTTCATTTTATACCTATCGCCACCCCCCCGCTACCACCCCAGAGCTATAAATCAAGGTAAAAAACCAACTTTTATTGCCAACCAATTTAAGCCACAAATTATATGCAATTGACCTGTTGAGAATACACAAATATTCTATGGTACAATAAGATATACTGTAAAAAATGTCATAAATATCGGCTAAGAAAAAACCAAAGTTATATGTAACTGCGAAATTGGATGGGACTGCTAGCGAAACTTTAAGAATTTCTTCCATTAAAAATGGGTATAAGGGTATATTGTAATTGTGCAAAATGCAAATGTATGTAACAGGCAGAAGGAAGCATCTCCGACCCCATAAAGTGTATATATTCTTGATCAGCATCAATAGCCGAGTCGATCTAGCCATGTCCGTCTGTCTGTCTGTCCGTCTGTCCGTCCGTCCGTCTGCCCGTCTGTAGATGCTCCTAGCTCCCGCGCAGATCGAGTTTGTTTCCGATAATCGATAACTTACTCCGTTTCCAAGCAATCGATAAAAATCGATATCGATATCCTGCTTTTTTTTTTTTTTTAGCAATTTTGGTAAATAATAAGAGCTAGAGTCACCAAACTTGACATATAGCTTCTAAAATAGAATATATATATATGCATTTGATGTTGGAAGAAGAGGGTTCAGGGTATCCTCTAGTCGGGAGCTCCCGACTAGAACCTCTTACTTGTTTTAAATTAGTTTGGTGTTGGAATAAGAGGGTTCAGGGTATTCCCTAGTCGGGAGCCCCCGACTATGACCTCTTACTTGTTAGTTTTACTATGCTCCCCATATATCAGCAAAATTCTATCAACATCGGACCACTTTATCATATAGCTGCCATAGGAACGATCGGTCGAAAGTAAAGTTGTATGGAAAACTATTTTGTTTTTGAAGATATTTTGACCAAACTTGGCAATAACTATTTTCCTAGCATGAGCATGAGCATGAGCATTGTGAAATGGTTGCGTGTGCAAGGGTATTAAATCTACGGCGTGCCGAAGATAGCACTTCTTTCTCGATTAAGATAACTGGACCAAACTCGGAATTTATTAGTTATTAGTTAGTATAGAGATTGGTGAAATAACAGGCTCTTATATGGCAAAAGATTCTGCCTTCAACGATATTTTTAACAAACTGCTTCATTCTTGCATACCTGCAAAAGGGAAATTAAATCAAATCTCCGGCGTGCCGAAGATAATCCAACTATGTCGTTTTATAAACATGTTTTGTCTATGTTTGACCCTCAGTCGAGTACTCGGATGACCATATGCACTGCAACGACGATGAGAATGACTTCAGCAGCGAAGCGCACGCATCTTTTAATGGCCATGGCCTGCCAAATGGCCAACACCATTCGCCGGACTCGGACAGCATGACTATGTGCAATGGCGCCGTCGGCCTGAGCAGTGAATTCTTTGCAAATTCACATGACTTGCCGCTGGTGATGCAGTTGTACGACTGCAAGGTTATATACCGTGAGAAGCACAAGATTGGCCAGGGTCATTATGGCACCGTATATAGGGGTGAACTCGAATATCATGATAAGGATCGCCCCAAAGAGCAGGTGGCCATTAAGAAACTGAAAACCGTGCAGGTAACCAATGATTTTCTGCGCGAGATCGACATCATGCGCAAGCTGGACCATCCCAATGTGGTCAAGTTCAAGTATTGGGCAGAAAAATCGCTAAGCATCATCATGGAGTACTTTGAATTTGGCTCGTTTATTGTCTACCTAAGTTCACGCAAGCCAAGTCTCACCAATGCCCGCCTATTGGCCTTTGCCCTGGACATTGCCCATGTAAGTATCTCATTGCCTACTCAGATGTTTCATGTTCGTCACTTTTCAATTCTTGCTTGCTGCAGGGCATGGACTATTTATCTGGCAAGGGTCTCATACATCGCGACCTGGCAGCCCGCAACATTCTAGTCGATCGTTCTTGTGTAAAAATCTCAGATTTTGGCCTGGCCCAGTTTGCCAATGCCGATGGCTACTACTATGGCATCAGCCAGCGTGATATACCCATTAAATGGTGGGTATACAAATTGTTGGCACTATCGAATTAGCATTTATCTTAATGCTTGAATATTGCAGGTATTCGCCCGAGGCCATTGAGACTCTTAAGTTCTCATCGTATTCAGATGTCTGGAGCTATGGCGTAACGCTCTTTGAAATGTTTTCACGTGGCGAAATACCAAATCTGGTGCCTGGGCAAGATTTAACACAGGATCAGTTTCTCAATCGCCTACGCCAAGGAAAACGGTATGTCAATTCCGGAATGCCTGTCAAACACTTGCGACCACATTTTTCACATTTTTAATTACAGATTACCAAAGCCGGAGCTATGTTCGGACTTTGTGTACAACGAGCTGATGCTTCCCTGTTGGCATGAAACTCCCAAATCTCGACCAACATTTCAACAAATTATACAAATCATAACAAGCGAAATTGGCGACAATGTTGGATCTGCAACGGGCAGTCAGCAGCAGTTGCAACAACAGCAACAACAGCAGCAGCAGCAGCAACAGCAGTTGCAGCAGCAACAACCACTGAATAGGGGCACATCGTTAGAGGACATGTATAAGGGATTAACGATCACCTAAACACAAAAGGAAGAATCCCAAGTGGGAAAATCGTTTTAAAATTCTTCTTGGCGGTTATAGATGACAGCAGCATTAAAATTGCATTGTTACTGTTTTATCATTTTAAGTTGTTATTATTTTTATCTTAACTACTTACACACTCATATATACACACATACACACTCACACACTCACACAAAAAAACACACGTTTTTAAAACGTTGGACGCATGTGCTTTACAACAACACAGTTTCGGTTGAAACTAAGCTATATATATATATTTATACATATATATTTATATATATTAATACATACATACTGTTCTTTATTTTTATCTCTGCTCTTTAACTGAACCTCTACCTAATTGAAGTTCTTAAAATTTTCCTTTCTGCTACGTCCGAGTAGCATTCAAATTGTCTTTGAAATTCTCATTTTAGTTTGTTAAAATTTTTAGACAACATTGTTAAACATTTGCTTAGCTTGATATTATTAATAATGTACAAAAGTGAATGCATGATGCATATTGCCCATGCGTAGCACATCGACCACTTATATATGTTCAATCCTAATCAAGCGAATAAATAAAACGTATTTTATGTAAAATGTACTCAAATATATGTGCACATATAGATAATGTATCTGTATAATATGTAAAAAAATCAAATTGACAACATTTTAATGCGGGTCAATCATACTTTATATATACGCCATTTTAAATCAATAAAAACGAATTGATAAACAAATTGAATACGCTTCTTGTTGTACTCATGCTTATACGGGTTAACAAGCGGGTAAAGCCCGGCTCTGCCTGGGCAAAGTTTGTATCTTCAAATTATGCACATCATTCTTTCATCCAATAGGCAGTCAGTCAGTCAGGGTAAACATTTTTACATATATATGTAAATATGTGCATATATATGTAAATATACACATATATATGTAAATATGTACTTACCAAAATATTCACATACACCCGCACGATTACTTGATCGCCATCTATTAGTAGAAGAGAGACTGACTTTTATGTGTACTCATCCCTGAAAGAAGAAAAGTAGAGCGTAAATAAGAGTAAGATCAGGAAAGAAAGTGACATATGCATGAAATGAGAAAGAGAGAGAGAGAGGGATGCATGGATTGCATAGGTCGATTTATGTAAATAAGATTGGGCACAAAACTTGGTAATATAGAATATTTCTGCTTTGGGGAAACCTTCCCTCTTTGACAGTTTGGTATAACATTATAAAAAGTATTTTAAAGTTAAGTGGCTTGCAAATCAGCTGTTCAGGTTGATTATACAAACTTTTGACTTGAGAAATTGAGGAAAACTCAAAAAAAGTTTTTTTTGTTTTTCTTTCATTTAAGCACCAGAATTAGAAGCAGTTAAAATATGTGTATACATGCATGCTGACTGCCAGCCATAAATAGAAACAATATGGATCAGGCTGCAACCATCCCTCTCCATGACGCGGACTCTCTCCTTGAGAAAAGATCAATGAGTATGCAGAACATGGTATATATCAATATATATGCGCATATATATGCATAAACATGTATCCACACATGCGTACATATATACATCCGTCATACTATATATATTTAGATACACATTAACATATATACAAGAATAGGTATATACATACATACATATACATATATAATTGACAAAAATAAAAACTCGAATGCAAACCGGGCCTATATGAATTCTTGAGAATCGAATAGAAGGGTACTATTTAATGCATAACTTTGGAATTTAAGAAGTATTGGTAACTTAACTTTGCATTCGCCATTAATTATACATTATACACATACATTGACATTTGTGTACACATACTTACATACACATACATGTGTATATACATGCATACATACTTATGTACATTCTTGTGACAATATACTATTTGATATAAACATTAATGTATCTTAATGTTTGCATACACATATTTATATATACACACACATAACCATGCTTTCATAGACATACACAAATATTCCTTTGGCAATATAAAATGTTCTGTTTCATACACATAGAAGAAAATAAAGTAAAATAAACATGATCGCTGTTTTAATATTTAGATCGAAAATATTGATGGCAATTTTTACGACTGCAATGATTTTGTTTGTACAGTTCACATAAAAGCGAAAGAGATAGTCAAAGAAAAGAGACGGCAATAACAAACATTCCAGCTAAGTCTATACAATACATGAGAGATCCATACATTTCGGAATTTACGATTATAATTCACATGATGAATAGTTATGATATTTCTTTTCTTATAGTTAACGCCTGTTTGATGATACGATTTCTTTTTGAATATATATAAATAGAACTTAAAATACACTGATAAGTTTATACTACAAAATCATATGAATTTGTCACATTTATGTTTTGAACATCAAGTGTATAAGAGGAAAATATGAATGGATTACTAGATTTATTAAAGTACTTAATTATAAAATGCATACATTATATGCACAACAATAATAATTCGTTGATAAATATTTACGAATGCCTTATAACTAGTGAGAAATTCTACAACATTCTATTAATTTACACATACTACTGTTCATTGTAATTGTTTTTGGTTTTTTCGTATATATATATATATATATATATATACATATATACATACATATCTACAAATATGCTGGTCTTTGAAGAAGAAGAGCACTTGTCTGCTAGGAGCCCTCGGTTTTTTTCTTTTTCAGCGTCTCCATAACGCCGGCAAAATTTGCGGTCTTTTTCTTGGCCGACTTCGGCGTCGACGTTTGGCTTCGTACGCGCATTTGAGTGGGTGCAACTTCGTCGCTGAAATCAAAATCGTTTGCCTTTTGTGGCCTGCAAGGGGTAGAAAAGAAGAGTCGAATGCGCGCTAGTACATATAGTATATGTGCATATAGCCTTACTCTTGCTCCACAGTTTCGGTAGCAGCTTCTAGTTCCTTGTTGCTGCCGCCCACGCTGGCGTCTGGAGAGGGCGCTCGACGTCCAGGAAATTGCCATTGAAGTTCTGGTATATTGCCAGCTTCAAGCATTAAATAGTAGCTTTCCAATTCCTCAGCATTGGCCGAAAATTTATCAGATGCTGTGGCCGTCTCCACCTCAGCTGCCATGTTTTTCTGTTTTGCGTTGCAAGCTTATCTTCCTCTTCTTACCCTGTGCCATATGCATCAGGCGATTCGATAATTTGCAATTTATCGATTGATCCAGCTTGGCCAGTGTTGCAAAGCATCAGAGCGGCGGACAATTTAAAATCAATACAATCAATATTAATTGAGTTAGTCAGCTTGTTGGCCTTTTATCGTGAAGTTTCGTTGGCAACAACAATTTTTTCAACGCTCGTTTAGTGATAAAGTCAAAGAGCAATTAATCATATGCTTAGAGAATTAACTTTTTACTTATATATTTTAAAGATAACCAGCTATAATGAATTTTATTTTCAATTATTTGTTTAAGTTTAAAATGTATGAGCCGTAGCACTCAATAAATGCTGCTGATTGGGGAAATTATTTTAGTAAATTTTATTTTATTTTGTGACACGAGAGCGCAAAAGAAATTTCGTGCGTGTCCGTGTAAGCCGCTTAAGCACGACTTTGGGAAAAATCAATTTACCAAATCAAATGAGATATAATTAACAATTAATTTAAATAAATTTATAAAATTCCAAAAAGCAAATAAAACGCATTGATTCATTGATTAATTAGGGAGCCAACCAGATAGCATGAGATATAGCATGTCGGCATGAGAAAAATGTCATAAATTTAGTTAGTCGTGCTGAAAAGCTTCGTTATGCGCTATCTTTAGAACCCGACTATGAGTCTGATATGATATATGGCACATTGATATGATATATACAACATTGTTTAGGTGAGGAGACTTCCGTGCGGGTCCAGGCAAGCCTCAGCTATACGAACAATATGATCTTTTAAGTAAGTTTTAAGTTTATTTTTCGACTCAAATCCAGACGAGACCTCGAAATCTTAAGCACGAATTCTCCGAGTAATAGTCCAGTTCGTGCCCATCTCTAGTTAAATCTGAGGATATATGAAGCTTATGTATAGCTGGACTTATGCCTATATTTGCCTGGATTTAATTATGCCTGCATATAACATATTATTGCACAGAAACATTGACAACAAAATATTTGTTATATATTTTATTTTTTGATTACTAAATTCTTAGAACTTTATTCAAAATTATCATTCTCATTCTTATACTCATTTTAACTGGCTTACATTCATCCATCATGCAACGTTCTCGTCGAGCTTGCGGGCCGTGTGAGCTGGTCACAGAGCACACAAACGCCACAAACGCAATTCGAGCTAATTTTAGTAGACACTTTGTCCATTACATCCATCTGCATAATTATCGGCATGATCAACTTATAAATATACATGTTATATTGTTTGTATTTTTCTTTTGTTTGTTGTATACTCGTATATGTATAAAAAGAATAATTATATTAATTAATTAATTAATAATAAACACACAATTTCATTGCAAAAAATTTCTACAATACGTAATTAAATACGGATACGTCCTGATCGTTGGTATTGCCACCGCCACCGCCTCCTCCGCCGCCGCCGCCACGATTCGATGAGCCCGACGATTTGTTGGAGCCATGCGCAGCAATGGTCAGCTGATTGGTCTGATGTATGACAGAGGTGATGTCGCTTTGCGATGCGGATATATCCTTGCTGGTGAGCACATCGGAGCTGCTCGAACCGGACGAGATGTGACGCTCGGCAATGCCGTACTGTATCGGCTGATAGCCGTGACTTGGATTGTACGTGGCCGAGTATGGCATATAGATCGGCGGATTTGGCAGCGGTCCAATATCGCTGGTAATGCTCTCCGTATCAGCATGGCTCAGTGCATGCGCCAGCGGATGCAACTGGGCACGCATGTTGGGATTGCGCTCCTCGTTCACCACATAGTAGCACTGCTCGGAGAAGGTCAGCTTGTTGACCGTGTGCTTAATGTAATTGTTGCGCAGCATTGCGGACACAATGCGACGTGCCTCGCGCCGATCCTGGACATCCTCAACGTTCTCCAGCACCCAATTGACCGCATCGGCGCCAATGAACGCATTTGGTATGGTTATCTTTAGCCACATGCGATCGCGTATCTCGAGGCCGCTGTCCGGCTTTGTCATGGCCTTAACAATCTCCTCGAGATTGTTTTGATCGAGCCGCTCCTTAATTGGCTCCGGTATGTCTGCCATAATACTGTCGTGCGATGTCAGCGCCTGTGTGTGCGCCACCCATGCGCCAGGATCAATCGGTCGCACCGGCTCCGTGCGTGGTATGGTAAAATAACCCTTCGGATTTGGATCCCAACATTTGGCCACCACCAATTTGATGGGTCCCGGCTTCTGGACCACCTCACGCAATACACGCACCGCCTCGTCATTGGTCATATTCTCAAAATTAACATCGTTCACCTGCAATATCATGTCACCCGGCTCGATGCGTCCATCCAAGGCGACAGCGCCGCCCTTCATGATGCTGCCCACATAAATGCCGCCATCGCCGCCGCGATTCGACTGACCGACAATCGATATGCCCAGAAAATTAACTGCCTCCATATTAATCGAAACGGTTATAATGTTCAGCGACATTGTTGAGTCCGTTATGGAGCTGTATGAGGATGTGCGCGACATGCTGGGCGCACGCTTTTTGCGACGTTGCGGCTTCTTACGCACCTGCAGCCGTTGCACGCTGCTATAGTCGGTCATATCCCGGTCCAGTGTTAGCTCCGATTCGGTGCCAAAGAGGCTCGTCGAGTCCAGATCGCTCGACAGCACCGAGGCCGATTGATATGTGAGTGGCGGCGGTTGCAGCATTTGCAAGGGTCCCAGCTTATGTTGTTGCTGTAGCTGTTGTTGTTGCTGCTGCTGCTGTTGTTGTTGGTGTTGTTGCTGCTGCTGCTGCTGATGTTGCTGATGTTGTTGCTGCTGCTGTTGTTGTTGCTGCAGTGCCAAATGACTACGCACACGCATTTCGCATTCGCTGGGCGGCAACTCGGAGCAATTATCAGACTGATTGGTGCCATCGGCCGAGACCAGCCAGGAGACGACGCGTCCATTGAAGCAAGGCAGTATTGTGGCATCGTCGGCGATTTCCTCTTTTACCACACCAAAGTCGGCGTCCATTGACTTGAAGAAGTATTTGTAATTGTTGTTCTGTTTATTGAGCACCATTTTAAAGTCTTTGAGTGTGACCTGAGCGGAGGGTATCAGTATTTTAACCAAATACGGTGTGCTCTCATCGTCAATATGATAAATGACTTTTGTCTCTTGGCTATTTGGTCTCTCTGTATCCATTGTTGATTAATTAAATTCGTTAGAAATTGTATCGAATTGTTCTATTGTATACGTATTCTCAACTATAGTTATATATTTATAGTCTACACTTTTTCGTTACACACACAAATTTTCGGTGTATTTTTTCTTTCCTTTTTACTTTTTACATGTATGTACTCCTCTCGCTTATGCTTTTTGGGTTGGGTTGTCAATGGAGCCGCAGCAGCTCTCCGCCTCCTTCATTTGTATATGGCGTTCCACTGCTTTAATTGCAGCTCATCAATGCTTTTCAGGCATTTGTATGCGTTTTCTTTTTGTTCGTACACTTTGCAATATTGTGTACAATTCTCTTTGGGCGTTTAAATTTATAATTTTGGGGAGACAAAATATATATATATAGGTAAATAATTGACAGCGCTAGACTGATATCGATACACGTATCGAACCAGGGATGCTGCCACGCTTGCCAAACACAATAGACAAATAACACTTGTGCGATAGTTATCGGAGCAAATTTGTTGATAAGCATTTAAATGGAAAAAAATGATGCACAAGCAAAATGTGTGTTTTGCAATCGTTTTTATTATATAACAAAATATCTAGTTTGAAGAAAACACCATCAATTTTGTATATCCGATTCGATTCAATTCGTTTCTCAATCATAAATTGTTATCGATTGGCTGTATCAATGTTCAGTGTGTACATATTATTTGTTAGCTAAATATTTGTAGTGGCATATATTTGCATCAATTGACAGTATTTGTGTGCCTGTGAGCGTAATGATTTATTTTAAGATCGAATGGAAACCAATTGAATTTTTGATATGTTCTAAGAGTGGACACACTGGCCCAATTTAGTCGATTTTAATTTAAGATAATTACAAAGGTTACCAAAGGTAGCCGAGAATTTACTTAAATGATTAGCAAATGTCCCAAAACAAAAACTCTTTTTATAGATCAAATCTTTTTCAGCCTTCAAGTTTTCCATTTTTTTTCTTGCGCGCAAAGCAAAATGAATTAAATGATTCGTTTGAAATGACAAACAATTTAACGAACATTGCATATTTTATATATATTTTTTTTTAATTAAGAAATTAACACAAGCAATATAAACAAACAAATGTTAGTATTTACTAATAACTGATATTCAAATAACTCTCAAATGCAATCTATTTTATTAATGAATTTAAAAAGAACTCATGTACATCGATTTACATAATAATAAAATTAAATCATTTTATTGATTACACCTTTCATTGCTTTACATAGAAATAAAATTAAATATTTGTATTGATTACAGTTTTCTTCGCTTTACATAGAAATAAAATTAATATATTATTTTTATTTATATTATTATTATTATTATTATTACACCTGCCATTCGGGTGCACGTTATTTATTGTATAAATCAACTAAACATTATTTTCGTTTGCAAATTAAAAAGTGATATTTTTGTTTTTCAAAACTCTCTTTATGCCTACATATATATGTATATAATGTAAAATTATTTTAAAATTATAGATTTCACATCAAAAGTCTTCCTCCGAGCGGCATGCGACGTTTTTTTCTTCTTCCACACATCCAATCCAGTTTGTAAACAATTTGCAATAGCCATAATTTAGTATATAAAGTTGCGGGATTTGGACCCATGATTGGGTATAGTGAAGTTTACCTTTAAATCTTTTAGTTTTTGTTTTGTTTTTATTACATTAATGTAGATATAACGAACAGCTAAAATAACTATTACGCTAAAGTAACTATTACAACTAATTTAAATCGAATAAAAAAAAAATAGATTATAGGTAATCCAAAAAATATACATATAATATATATATA